CCCTCTTTATTTGATTGAATCAGGAAATCAGAATCAGAAAAATTTTGTTTGAGTTTTTTCAGGTAAGGAAAGGTGACAAAATTTTGACAGCCAAGCATCTTTGACAACAGCTGGAGTTTTAGTTTGAATGCAGATGCTGCATTAGCCAGGTGATTGATGAATTGGTTTTTTTTCCCATCAATTTTTAATTAGGTCATTCAGGTGGGCTGTCACACCAACTAAATATGCCAAGTCACACTTGAAAGATGATTCCTTTAACATCCTAGTTTACCTGCCATTTTCTTTAAGAAGTGGTATTATTTCAACAATCAAATCAGCAAACCTTTCCAAAGCCTCTCCATGGCTCAACCATCATACTTCAGAGTAATATATGAGATCACGATGTGGTGTTTTTGTGTGTTCTAGGATTTTCTTAAATTGCCTTTGGTTTAAACTATGTGAATGAATAACAGTGATTGTATCGCTCACTACTTTCATTAGGCGGTCAACTCCTAGTTCTTTCGCACATAGCTCTTCTTGGTGCATGATACAATGATACCCAAGCAAATCTTTTCCTCTATCATCCAGATGGTTTCTCAGAAACCCCACCATGCCATTCTGAATTCCAATCATGGCTGGAGCTCCATCAGTAGTGATACTAACAAGTTTGTTTATATCCAAATTATGTGCAGAACACAAATTTAAAACTGATGATTAAATATCAGTTCCAATTGCTCGCCCCTTCATTGAACTCATTCCAACAAATTCTTCAGTTACTTCAAATGTTTCGGAAATTTCCCTGACAAACAAAAGAAGCTGAGCTGTTGAAGTAACATCTGTTAACTCATCAGTTGCTAGAGTAAAGTACTTAAATTTGGCGGCAACAGTCTGTAATTGTTCAGTAACATCATCAGATAAATTTTCAATTCTTCTTTGAATTGCCATTCTGCTGAGACTCACATTTTTAAATTTGTGTGTAGCTTCAGAGCATACTTTCTCGGAAGCCAACAATATACATTCCTTTTCAAAATTGCCATCGGTTAATGGGCAGCCTTTTTTAGCAATTAAGGCTGCAGTTCCCAAACTAACTTCAACACAGTTATCTAACTGTGAAGATACCTTTGTAAATAATTCCTTTGAGCAACGAGAGAACGGCGAAGAGATTCAATTTTACGATTTCGATCCTCTCCCTCAAGCTTTGAAAATGTTGAATGTTTCATGTTGTAGTGTCGCTTAATGTTATACTCTTTGCAAGCACTAATTGTAAAATTGCATATCAAGCATGTAATTCTATTATTTTGCTCCACAAAAATGTATTTCGAAGTCCAGGCCTCCGAAAATTTTCTTTTATCGTCCGCTAAGTTTCTTTTCATTTTGCATCCATCATCAGGGCAACTATCAAAACCACGTGGAACAAAAATTCTACATTGTTTCCACTTTCAAATTAATATTTAACCCTTTGTGGAACCTAAAAATTTCCTTCTGTACACACAGAAAAATTGAATGAGAAAGGATTTAGAGGTTACTATAGGTTACAATGAACCTTCTTTATTTATAGTAGATGGCAGATCAACACAAACCAATCCATATATTTTAGCCATGTTTTGTTTTTTAAGACCCTCATTTTTCAAAGAAATCTTTCAGGTTTATTTTAGGTTATAAAAGGAATTGTTTGAAAAGATATTTCTCTTTTTTTTTTTTTTTTTTTTTTTTTTTTTTTTTTTTTTTTCTGTATGCTAATCTCCTTATTCTATATTAGTTTTAAATTTTTACCTTGAAAACTTGCCTAAAATCGAACGGCGAACTTGAGCTGTGCCCAGACCAGGCACACCAAGACTCTAAGACAACTGAGAGACTGTATTCTTTGTTTCTCCGCATGTCATCGGTCATTTCAATTATAACAGAAAAGTGGGTCCACATCTGAGTTTCATTTCCTGTTTTTCTCTTTCTTCTTCTCTCTCTCTCTCGCTCTTTTTTTTTTGGGGGGGGGGGGATAGGATGTTTGGATAGGATGTTTGTTATGCAAAAATACATAACAACTCAAAATATCTGTAATGAAAATTATGAAGTAAATCTTAAACACTTATTTCCTCGAATAAATTCCAGAATGGATTAAGCATGATTTAATTTGCAATAATAAAAGAAGGTGTTATCTTTGTTATTGCGAAGCTTACTTTCTCTAGATTGGCAACAAATCTACACTATTCTGCTCTTTCAAATGTAAACAAGCAATGGCCATCATGGCAAAAATTATTAGGCTTAGCGGCACTTAAACAACTTTTAAATTGTTGATAATCCTAAAAATATTGCATACAGATGTACTAAAGGCATAAAAAACTTAAGCAGAAGATAAGAACAACATAATTCAATCATTCTTTGAGCAAAAAATGCACAATTTACAAACATATAAGAATAAAGAAACTGAGATCACTGATCCGAGTAACAGAGTGGATATATATATACGTATATTTATATACTTTTCGTGCGGCTGATTGCAACCAAAATCTGAGGCTACTCATTGAGTTATGCAAGATGATGTACGCATTTGATTGAGTTATGCGAGTATGTACGCACAGATGCCACGAAAAATTCTCTTCAGAATTCATTTTAAATTAGTTTTACAATTTTTTTGGGGGGGAAGAGTTCTTTATTCTGTCCTTATGTGCAGATGTCAAGCAAAAAACATTATTAAATTGTATTCGATAGTGTGTTGAATATCTGCGTATATATGATGCATGGATATTTGCGTTGAAATATGATGCCTGAAACTTTTCGCGATTGCAGTACTTCTTTTTTACTTAGTACAAGGAAGTAAAAAGAGTCTTTTAGGGGGATGTAGAGTAGCAGATCTCCCTGTGGCACACCCTAGGTAATGCTAAATCTGCTACGGTATTCAGAATATAGTGTTTTTTAATTGTGGGCAAAATCTGTTATTCTTTTACACGCTTCCCAGCAATGCTCTTTTCAAAGCTCTATTCAGTCAGTGTGCCCGCTTTGGGCACACCCACTGAATTAAAACGATAAGTGCTATCTTCATAAATTTTACTTGTGTACTTCTCTAGGCCTAATTAGACTGCCTGTCTTTTTTTTTTTTTTTTTTTTTTTTTATTGAAATTCCAACTTTAAAAGGTAGCATGCTGGAAAGGGTTAGACAAAAAGTGAAATATTCAAAACATGAAACTTCTTAATGGTCCTGAAAATAAATAAACACACACCTTATAAAACAATGTATAGTCACGAAGCCAAAAGTGCAACGACGGCAAGCAAGTTAATGCACCACTTCAGATCCGAGCAAATATTTTTCTCTTCCACTTTACTAGCGCATGCCTGCAAACACACTCATGCTACGTCATACCACAGACTCTTTCTCAATCTTCTACAGGTGTTGGTCCTACAGGCTAGGAAGCAATTTTCGCATGCAGGCAGCGGATATATGCTTTGGTTAACGCCGGGAACTTGGCTCAGTGCCAAATCTCACTTTGAGGGAACAGAGTAGAATGAGTATGAAAATTTTTTTGCTTGGAACCCCTTCTAGAGACAACCGTTATGTCAAATCGCAACAAAAGTTTGAAAAGGTGTCGGCAGGCCACAGGTTGTGCAATTTATATATTTTAATTAACGAAGTTTGACAGCATGCAGCTCGGCTTTTTTGACAGTCTACAAATTTTGGTGTTTTCTTATAAAGATTTTTTACATGACAGCATTACATACATCCCTGTTCTAGCTAGGCATAAAATGAAATTTAGTTTATTTGGAGAATTTTATGGTAAAAATCGAATAAAAAATTCTGGGAAAAGAGCATTGCCGAACATCAAATGATTAATAATGAAATGAAATTTCATGACAAAAGAAGTGTTTCAAGATATTTTGGTTTCATTTTTGCATATAGTGAAAATGCTCACTTTCTTAATTGCAGTATAAAGTAAAATAAGAATTTAATGAAAATCATTTAAGTCATGTTGCAGTAACACATAATATTTTGAATGAATATGAACATGATTCTTTTGAGATTTTTGATTTCAACTTTGCTATGAAAATTTGGCTTTTATTTTGTTTAATTTCTGTTTTGGAGAATACATAGTTTCTTCATAAATATAAATCAGCAGTGAGTAAAAAGAAACGTAAGGCTGGAGTATATTTGCTGTTATTTTTATGCGCCTCTGATTGAGAACAATAATGTTCAGTTTCATATTGCAAATTTTTCACTTTATACAACACCGCTGTTGCTGATAAAGTGTGTTTTTCTTTGAACAAAAGTAGGAAAGTATATAATGCATTTTAATGTTTATCAAAGATTTTCACATTTTATTGCAATTTTTAAATTTTGTGTGTTATGTAGCTATGTATGTTATTCTGATTATCTTAACTGTGTTCTTACATTTATTAGTAAGATAAATTTAATTAACTGTATATTTATGTGTTTACCTTGCATTCTTTTGCAGCTTTTTGATATGCATTAATAAGGAAAAAATATCTTGAACATTATAAATTTCAGTACTTGCATATTAGGGCAACTACAGTGGCATAGTTTAGTGTTTTTTCACAGTGAATTTTCATTCCAACTTACAATAGATATGGTTACCTAAAGAACTGTTATGCACATGGTTGCCAGAGTCTGGTGACTTCTAAAAATTTGTCAGTTTCAATAAGGTAGATGGGATAAAACATGAGTATCTAATTTCTTTAAAGAGTGAGTAAGGCAGAAATAAGATATGTTCTAAAATAGAAGTGTTTTAAAATTTGGAATTCATTACAAATACATCACTTTGAATGAATCTGGTTTTTAAGCAATAAAGATAAGCTTCATTTCATCTGTTTTTAAATAAATGTATGGTCAGTTAATGAAAAATTATTTTGTGTTTTATGTGAAGTCATGCTAATAATTTTATATTTTCATGTAAATGTGTCATTTGTATTATAATAATCATTGAATATCATTTGAGTTTTCATTTGAATTCAGTTAAAAAATGAAATTATCGTTACAGTTTGAATAATTTCATAACACTTGTTTTCCCTTTCAGGTGTTAACAGACCTGACCATTCTAATATTTTTGCACTCTTGGAACATCATTTGCATACAAATAAAATGCATGGAACTGTTATCCTTGAGTCAAAAAAGTGCTGGAATTTCTCAAACATGTTACAAATTATTGTTAATGAAATTGTTGCCAAGTATCAAAAGGTTTTTTTTTCTTTCTTTCTCTCCCCCCCCCCCTTTTTTTTTTTTTTTTTTTTTTTTTGTTGTTGTTGTTGTTTGTTTTGTTTAGTCATTGACTGTTGCTCTTAATATAATTTCATTTTCCATAATAATTTTTTAATTCTTAAGATATAAATTAGATATGGATAAAAGCATGCATAAAGAAAATGCGTAATAATTTTTTTCATCGACTGGGTCACAAATAATAATAAACAAAGAGGGTTTTCAATGCAGCATTTATTCAGAATCACTCAAAGCTAACAAAAACTATATATAAATAAAGCATGATTTTGTAAACTAAACATATGAAATTGTTCACTTGTATTTAAATGCATGCATATATGAACACATACATCCAGATGTACAAGCATACACTTATACATTTTTGAATCCAGTCCCAATAACAGAAGAGTACCTAGTGTTTTATAAAAGTAATGAATTTTTCCTAAAATAAGTTTGATAATTGAATGACTGCATTATTAAAAATTATATTATTCATGTGCTGTAGATTCTTTTTAATCAAAAAAATATGATACAGGAAGAGGTATTTGAACTTACCTTGTCCACCATTAAATTATGCTTTGTGCTACAAAGAGCCTACAAAAGCCTGAAACGTTAAATTCTGGGAATAAAATGAAGCAAATGAAACTATATAAAGACTTTGCAGTATCTTGCTATTATAATTTACAGCTGAAGAACTAATTAAGTTATAATTTTAAATAAAAATAAACCTTGACACACTTTGAGTAAATAAGTAAAGAAAAACTTTAAAACATAAGATTTCCACATGAGTCAATGAGTAACATGAGTCAATTTCACTGTAAAAGTGCTCTATGAAGCATCCTATTTACAGCAGATAGCCCTTGATTGCATTGTTATAATAGCTTGAAGGAATTATTAAATTTATTATAGCATTCCTAATACATAATTTTTGACTTGAAATTGAGTGATTTCTAAAAGCACTTATTATCCCCCTCCAATGCCTAAATATCAAATTTGCAAAAATCATTTAGGCAGTTAGTTACGCCATTTGAAATCTGATATTAATTTTCAATTTTATTCCAAAAATAATTTTGCTTCTAATTTCTGTCAACATTCTTTCGCTGTCTCTTTTTCTCTTTCATCTTCTCTTTATTATGAGTGAGCATATGCTAATCAAATTCCACTTTAATCTTTCACTAATAAATCACATTTAGTATTTTGAGGAAAATCTTTTTATATTTGCACATTTTAAAAAATTTTAAATGTCAGGCAAAATTTTATAATCTCTCCTCCCTCCAAAAAGAACAATGCAGTAAAATTTTATTCATTTATAAATAAAATTTTTATACTAATTTTAATAAGAAAAATAAAAAAGTTTAATTTAGTATCTAATAAAGTGATTGACACGAAAAGTTCTTTATGTATAAATAAGAGACAGCAGTCATAATGTTTCATCAAACAATTTTAAATTAATTTTTTTCAGCTTAATAATTATTAATAAAAATCTCTGCACATGTATTACTTTAAATCACTTTGCCCTAGTGAGACTATGAGTTCCTATTCAGTAATACATATTCCTTATTTTCAAATCATGTTCATTCATTTCTCTTTAGTTGTGTTAGTCTCTGTAATGCTAAAATAGGCACTTTTATAGATAATTTTGTATGAAAATAATTTAATTTAATATTGCTTTGTGAATTTTATGAAATATTCACAAATGTAATTTTTGGAAGTAAGTAATGTAATGGAACTTCAATTTTTCCAGTTTCAAATATCTGAATTGCCCCCCTTTCTTCCCCCTTCTAGTCCTAGTAAAATAAGGATTGCTGTTAATTTATTATTTTTTCCTGATTTAATTTACACAAAAGATTTACAAAAATTAATTAATTAGTAAGTGTTTCTAATATTTTGTCCACTCAGTGTATGATGTTGCATTGAGTGTGATATTTTTAACTGCATAATCTTAGTTGAAATAAAGTATTTAAAGAAAAATAAATAAATTTTATTAATTTTAACTCTAATAAATATGTATTTAACTTATAGAACAAAAGCAGACCAATTATCTAAAATGTTAACATCCTGAGAGTTATGTTTGTAGTTAATCTGCATATTTTAAGCTCTGCATAAAAGAGCAGAGTTCATAAATAAATAATAATAATAATAAAAGTTTTATCTTCTTCCGTTCTTTTCTTTTTTGTTTTTTTCTCCCCCTTAGTATTTTGGTTTGGTTTAGTTGATTATGGCAAAGCGCATAAGGGCTATTTTCCTACAGGGAGAAATCCCTTCATAGAAAACTTTAACTTGTATACATGCTCCCCATGGTGAAAATGCCCATGTAACCAGCCCATTAGCCTGAATCGAACCCAGGTTGAGCCAGAAACTGATTTTACTGTTCGCCTGCTGGTGGCTCTTTTGAGTATTTTAATCAGCTTATTCGAATTTGATGTGTATGAAAGATAAAAATGTTAAACTTTGGAAGGCATAGGCAAATTATTGTAGACTGTGTTCAGATACAATAATTCATTTTCCTTTCTCTTTCTTTTATATTAGTTTACTTTTACCTTTCTAGTAAATAATCTTAAACTATATGTGAGCAACATAAAATTCCCTTAAATGAAAAAAATTGCTTGCGCATTTGTGCTTGCACAGTGAATACCTAAATCTTTAGAAAGTAAGAAGCAGAGAGTGTTATTAACTAAGTATATGCAGAATTGTTTGTACTTCATTGCTGTGAAGTCTATAAGTAGCAATGAAGTACAACAAATTTCACTTTTTTCTACTTTTATTAAATATTGCATTATGGTACTGGACTGTATATCAGTCATTCAGTCTAGCAAATAGTTCTTAGATTGCCTTTCTGTGTTCAAAACATGTTTATTATCAGTATAGCTACTTAACTAATTAATTTAAATGAAATAAGCATATTTCTTAATTTAAATCTTTTATGAAATTAAGTTACATATTTTTGTAAGTTACTTTTGTTGGTTGCCAAACTAAGTAACCTAAAAGCAATAAAAGTGCTTCTTAATTTACATCTTTTATAAAATTATGAAGAAATCAGTGATCACCTTTAAAGCTGAGATAATAATAGAAATATATATTGTTGATGGCAAATTTCAGGGCATGTCATTTGTCATGAACCAGTCAAAACTCCATTCATTACTGACATTAAAAACCATATTCAGCTGAAATTAAGTCTCTCTTCTCCTCTTTTTTGGGGGAGGAAGGGAAATATACCTTAAAAACCCACTTTGTAACTGCTAAATTTACTCACTTATTCTCCCTTTTTTCCTTAATTTTACCAGTTCAAAGTCAAAAAGAAAAATTTACATGATGTGCACCGTTTCTAAAGGAAAGGCTTAAATGAACATAGTACATTAAATATATATATATGTAGAAACTTATTACTTACATGATGTAGTTTCCTACCTGGGCATAAATTTTAATTTTTAATTAGTTATCTTTAATTAGAAGTTTTTAAATCTTATTACTCAAAAATCTGATATGTACACCACATGACTTCGTTGTATGGAATATACATATTCTTGCATTTCATTTAAACTCATTGGATTGAATTAAATCTACTTCACTGACAGCGCATAAACCACAATAGAATAAATGCATTCTTTAAAATTCACTCTAGTATTTGTTTACCATAGCGACACTCTGGCACTAGATTCACTTAACAGTATTACATTTCGTTCATATTATAACTCATAATGCACAAATTGTATATCATTTAAAGAATAGAATTATCTAATCGCTGCCACATGTTCTATTCAAATACTATAATAATGCTAGAATGATCTATAAAAGAAATTAAGCAAATAAAACAAAAAAGAAACAGTTTTTCACAGATGATTGAGTATTTCTCATTCAATTAATTCAGTTCTCACTTCGCGAGAAGGCAAAAAATACATAAAAACTCAAAATATCTATATTAAAAATTACGAAGTAAATCTTAAACACTTATTTCCTCAAAAAATTCCAGAAAGGATTAAGCATGATTTAATTGGCAATAATAAATGAAGGCGTTATCTTTGTTGTTGCAAAGCTAAGTTTCTCTTGATTGGCAACAAATCCACTAGTGTGCAGTTTCAAATGTAAACAATCAATGGCCGACATAAAAAAAGGCTTAGCGGCACTTAAACAACTTTAAAATTATTGATAATTCTAAAAATATTGCATACATATTTACTAAAGGCATAAAAACCTTAACCAGAAGATAAAAACAACATAATTCAATCATTTTTAAAGCAAAAAATGTACAATTTACAAACATATAAGAGTAAAGAAACTGAGATCACTGAGCTGGGTAACAGAGTGGATATATATGTATACATATATTCATGTACGTTTGTTGCGGCCGATTGCAACCAAAATACGAGGTGCACATCTAGATGTTATAGCAGTCCTATATACAAAATTCCAACGTTCTGAGGCTACTTGTTTTTGAGTTATGCGAGATACGTATGTATGCATGTATGTACATACGTTCATACAGACGCCACGAAAAATTCTCTTCAGAATTAATTTCAAAGCAGTTTTATAATTTTTTTAGAGGAAACGAGTCTTTTATTCTGTCCTTACGTACAGATATCACGCAAAAACATGGTTAAATTGCATTCGATTGCGGTCAAAATGGATATTTTCTTTGAAATATGCTGCCTGAAACTTTTCGCGATTACAATACTTCCTTTTTACTTCGTACAAGGAGGTAAAAGAGGAGCAAATATACTGTGTTCTAATAAATATAAATACAATATTTTTATACCATTAATTATAATATATTATAGTTATATTATGTGTTCATTTGTTTTCAGATTTTAGGTTTTACTGAGGTGTCTGTGAAAAAGCAAGATTGTTCTTTTGAGAAATTGTATACATTGTGGCAAAACAACTTTTGCGAAGAGGTATGATTTTATTATAACTGTGTAATATCTTTCTGGGCTGTCAAAGAATTATGCTGTTTTTATTTTGAACTCTGGACTCTAGTTTAATAGTTACATACATCTTTGTGTATTCATAATTGGAGAAATTTGAACATGAATATATTGTAATTATTTTGAATGACTGCTTTTTATTTCTGTATTGATCTGAAGTAAGATGACTTCACATATAAAATAATTTCTTCAGGTTTCTATGAAAAAGGGTTGCATGTAACACAGTGTGTATGTGTATGTATTATCGGGTCATTCCATATTTCGTGGTTTTTTTCAATTGTATACCTAAAAGTTGGAGGAGACAGAATAAACTACCTGCATCAACTTGCTCTAAGTGCCGGTAGTAATTTTACCTTGTTCTTATTCTTAGTGCAAGTTTTGAAAAATGTAGTTTTCTTTAAGCAGTTATTTTTTTTAAGCTGTAATGTAAGTGATGAAGGAGTGTATTCATCATATTTTGGTTTATGAGCTCTGCAAGTATGAGGAATATTGAAGCAATAAATAAAAACTGTTCAATAAATGTAAACCATTATCAATGGTGGCTCCAAGAACTCCAAGCCAGAAATTACAATCTAATAAATGAACTTTGTTCTGAAAGACCATTACAATTCAATGAGGACATCCTGTTGGAACAAAATCTGATCATAACTGTTGAGAAAGTAGCAGAGTATAAATAAGAGTATATTTTAAATTTAAAATGAACTTTATCTTAATTTTGTAAAATGGAAGAAATATAAAACAACCACGTTATTTAAGGGATGGGCAAAATATATAAAAATATATATTTAATACAGGAGTTCTCAACCAGTGGTATGCAAAGATGCAAAGTATTTTTAACTATTAAATTCAAAAATTAAAACCTGAACTTCCTGATTGAGTGTTTTTCTAACACTCGTAAATTTATGTCATCTGAGCTTTGTTCAAGAGTGGTCGTGGTAGTAGTACTTTGTAGTGCTGGTACTAAAGGTTTTCAATTTTTGTTCAGATGGTATGCGTTAGTCTAAAGGTTGGGAACCGTTGGGTTAATATAATCGTGCCTTGGTATAACAGGTTTTTGGTGTGCAATCTTGCTCTCTTTGGTCGCCTTTTTTTTCCCTGCTTCGGTCTTTGCCACACAGAGTTTGCTTTCCGCTTCGTCCATTGTCTAAGTAGATGGAAGCTGTACAAAGCTGTGGTTTGCATTTCCCATCCATAAATGATGCTTGTGAATCTGTTTATGCACATCAAGGCTTGCTTTATTACGAAAATAAAATAATATATTCAAGTATGTACGTAGGTCTGAATGCTTTTTTTTTTTTTTTTCCCTGTTCTCTCATTTTAAGTATCCACACAACTGTTTTTTGAATCCTCACACCATCTATCTAAATCATTACACACAACACACACTATATATATATTTGGAATTAATGAATTAACAGTATTTGACAGGGAAAATAATTAAATGATCTAAATATTTTAAAGTAAAACTAGATAAATATTTTTTGGTTTAATTGTTAAAAATCTAAGTAATGCATTTTTACATGCTTACAAATATGAGAATGGACGTAGTTTTTAGAATGATGTTTTAATTCTTTTCATCTCTGAAACAGTCTTGTCTTCAGAATTACAGTTTAATAGCCAAATTTTCTCTGTCTTCTTTCAATAAGCTATATATATTTTTTTTTTTTTTTTTAACATTTTTTATCTGTCAACCACATATGTTTTTCCCATTCAACAGCTCATTCGTTTAAGATAATTTTATTAACACCAACTGCAAAGCCTCCTACAATGTGAAAATTTCATCAGCTCAGTGTATAATCGAAAACTTATGATAAATAGGGAGATGAGTCCAGAAGAAATGCAGTACCGTAGTCACTGGGCCATTTGTAGCTATTAGGGGATTCAAAAAAATTATAGGAAAAAAAGTATTGTCTTTGTGCTTGTACAGTATCAATAAATGGCTGAATTCTTGTTTTGATAATTATACAGTCAGTGCATTAAATGCTTTGCATTAAAATAAACATAATATGTGTTTTATTTTTAAATAGTGTGCTTTTGAGGAGCAATTAATTAATTAAATTTTAATATTATTTTTCATTTTCCTTTAGACAAACCCAAAAATGTGTTATAAGAATGTTTCTTCTGATCCAATGTTGAAACCTCTGATTTTTTTAATACAAGATGTGGAAGCTTTCAGTGTGGAGCTTCTACAAGAATTAATATTTGTTTGCAAGTATGTTTTAATTTTTTAAAAATTTATTGCATTTCAAATCTATTATATTACTTGCTTGTGTGCTAAATTTTCTTGAATTTGTGTCTAGTACAGTCTTTATAAGTTGAATAATAATTTTTAAAAAAATGGAAGTAATGTAATGATATATTAAAATGAGTGAAAAGAATAATTTATGCTTTAAAATATGATTAATATGTTTAAAAGTGGGATTTATCTCTTTGATTTCACAAGAAGTTTATATTTTTCACATGTAAAATAGAATAAGGAGTATGAAACTAAGTAAAATTTGTGCTCATTTAGTTTTTTTATATTCATCGATATTCCATTAAAATAATGAAGATTGGATATTACTGATTATAAACAAAGTGCACTATTGCTATATGTTTAAGGGAAGGGATGCTGTTGTAGATAAGTGGCTGGAAAAATCAAGCTTATATTTATATTGATTGCACTTGAAGAAAACTAAAATTTCATGGCATGTCACAAATGCTGGACATAGAACTCAAGTTACCATATTTGTGTTTCCCGAATGACCCGCCACAAGTCTGCAATAAAATAGTGTAAATCAAAAATTTTATATCAATATCCATTTATCATAATTCCACTCAATTATGCAGAAACTCGTTTATTTCAGTAAATCATGTATATCTTGCTCTATTGAGATTCTTTCTTCCTTTATATTTCATTTTGATTTTCTCATTTTCACAAGTCAAAATAAAGATTTGAGAAAGAAATTTTAAAGTTAGACTTTTGTGAAAATTAACATCCCCCAATACTTTAGAAGCACTTTTGTATCTGTTACTAATAGGAGTTTTATCGACGCAGGATTATTATTCTTATTTTGCTAGAGACACAAAAGTAACGTAATATTAGCAAATCAGTAAATGCCTTTTGTTTGAATAAAAATTAATGCATTTTCCCTTGTTCTGAATTATCTGTTATTCAGAGAAAATCATATGAATAGAAAGTTTTGCTGTATTGCCATAAATTAAAGCTCTAAGTCATTGAAACATTTTTAATTCACTCTGCTCGTGGTGATAGAAGTTTTCTCATCTTTTTTCTTATTTTGTCTCATGTAGTGTTCTCATGTTGTCCTACTTTAAATGGAAAAAAAAAAAAAAAAGTGCTTAATAATAACATTTTCCTAGTAGAATTGGGTAAAAATAAAGTACGTTCTTAAAAACTATTAAAAATCTAAAATTAAATTATTAAAAATGAGCAAATATTGAAAATCCAGATTCACACTAGTAAGAGTTTACAAACAGAATAAACATTTATTGAGTTTTGCTACTCAGACGAGGATTTTCCTCTTTTATTGAACTCACAAAATAAATAAAATTCAATCAATTCCATGTGTTCAATTTCCTTTTAACATATTTTTATAACTCAATTACAGTCTCTTCTTTTGCAAAAGTAAATTGAAATGAAACAATGATACTAGTTTTCATGCAAAGTTATTGAAATTATCTTTCTGAAAATATTTTTTAAACTAGGTGATAAACTGTGGCACTTATTCTTCAGAAACAGATTTTTTTTCTGTGAAACAAGTGTGATTTTTATTGTGAACTACTGAAAGTCCAAACTGCTGCATTTAGAAGAAAAAAAAACTCCATTTTCATTCATTCTTTTTCCAAAATTTCTGATTTTTTAAAAAAGGGAAAAATTTTTTACTTATTTTCAAACTTCCCTATAGAGACAAATTGAAATCATTCACTTTTTCAAAAACACCACATAAATATGTTAATTTTAGTAAGATGTTGATAAAGTTTTCTCCATCCTTGTGATCTTAAGAAAACTATAAATTTTGCATGGTAGTTCAAACAGAGCATTACCTCAAGATTATCTTGCATTGCTGTAATATAAATTTTATTACAAAGTTTTTTACTTTTTAACTTTATATTTTAGACCTGGTTCAATGTAGAACTTAAATGCTTTGACACAAATGTTTGTTTATGAATAACATAATTGTTCCAGAGCTTCAAGAATTTTATTGCAAATAAGGGTATATTCCTCTATAACTGCTACACATAGAACAAACAGCACAGATACCATGATGCTTGGTACATTCCAAACTTTCTTCAGATGTAAGAGTGTAAACAATTTCCGATGAATATTTAACATCCACACTAATATTTTCGCAAAAAAATTTTATATAGTGTTATCATCTGTAGACCATATGTAGCATATTAAATTCTTTATTACTATCCATAATTTTCAGCTGCAGTCTAAATCCCTTTCCTTTCTTTCTTCAAGTAATTGATTGAGATTCATATTATCCTCCACTATGTGCTATGGAACTAAGTGTTATTGGATAAAGCACATTTGAAAACTAATCCAGATAATTCACAGTTTTTGGTGTTCATCATATATACAGCAGTCAGAGTAAATTTTTTCTGCGATAGTGTGCAACTTCATATAAATCTATATGCTGTCTTCTAAATATGTATGTAGTAAAGCATTACTTGGTATCAGCACCTACTTAAAAACATGTTTTTATTTATTTATTTTATGTGTTTGTGTGTTCTAACTCTTTTTAAGCCTCTGGAATAGATGTGATGAGATTTGCTAACCATGTTGCTGTGATTGGTTTCAAAATGACCTTTCAACCTTTTCTCATTATACACTCTGATGCAAGAAGATTAGTTTATATTACATCTTGTGGTCTCTTTTCACCATTGCTTTTTAATAATATAAAAATGAATTCCTAATAATTGTTATCATATTTAAAGTATTTTTGCTTGACTTGTGATGGGCAGTGCATGTTCTTTACTTTAAATCTAATTTTAGTTGTTTATGCTCAGTTAAAAATTAGCACAATTTTGAAAAGCAAAATAAGTATTTAAATAATAATAATGCCTTATCATTTTTATTTGATAATATGCTTAATCACATCTTTCAGTTTTTACAATTGAATAAAACTAATTCGACACCACAAGAAACTGGCACCTGTTTAAATGCAAACACATAAAAAAATTTATTAAGCTGTTGAAAAAAATCTCAGCACATACAGTTATTATAGAACAGTAACTTATATCGGCTTTGTTAGATATAGTTTCCTAAGCCACTGAATTAAAAAGGTAGATAAAATTACGAAAATTTTTATGATGACCTTGGCTTGTCAAAGTATCATGATGCATGCTTTAAGGACAACTGCTTTAAAAGGCATTTTACAGTATACTAAAGATAATTTCTTGCTCTAAGATTATGTATTAAAATTTTAAAGTAATATTATTTTTGGAACAAATGGAACATTGAATAAAAATTTGAAACAATTTTTGCAGTAAAAAAATTACTTCTTCACATTTATAAAAATATTATATAAGAAATCACTTATTTATTTTTAATGGTTATTAGATATTAAAATTTCTTTTCTATTTTCTTTATATTTATTCAGAAGGTATGCTGGTAAACTACCAATAGTTTTAGTTTTTGGTATGGCGTCTGCAATGGTTACATTACATTCCATGTTGCCTCAAAAAGCACTATGCTGCCTTGGTATTGAAACATTTTATACTACTTGTGCTTCAGAATCTTTAACAAGAATCATCGAAGAAGTAAGAACAGATGAAGTTTTTCTTATGTATATTTGATAATTATAGTTTCTATTTTAAATAATTTTAAGGATATGAAAATTTATCATGAACACTCTTTTTCTGATTTTATATTTGATACATACATTTTATTCCGTAAACAAAAATTAATCAAGTTGCACAATTTCATGCAATAACTGCTCCATGGCATGGACTGCTGTCTGGGGGGGGGACACTTGCTTCTTGCTACTCGGTCTTTTATTTTTTAACAGCAGATATAGACTGCATAAAAAGCAAAATATTCCATTTATACTTTTTCATAAGTAAATGGTATTTTATAAAAAGCAGGATTAATAAATAATCATTGCCAATAGTTATCATTTGACAGCTTTGCTAGGACTGAGCTTTGCTAGGACTGAGTGAAAATTATCACTGCTAAATATTTACTAATGCACTGCTACTCTGGTGGTTCAAAATTAAGAGAATTTGCACATTTAGTTGATCATCTACAGGACAGATAGATATATTTTATTAAAATTTGGTATTGGCATAGGTTGATGTAATCCAAAAATGTATACCATCCAAGATTCACGGTACACATACATGATGAGCAGAAGGCTCATTAGTATAAAAAAGTATAAAGCAGAGAATGCAAGATCAAACAAAAAAAAGGAGGCTGTGATGTAGTCCTCTGCTGGTCACACAACTCTCACAATGTGATTTCATACTGAAATGAAGCAGTTTATGAGTTCCTGTAGTAATGTATGTCCTGCTACTGCAGCACTGCTGTTTTCATTTTCTGAGATGGGGAAGATATGTTGAAGTTGCTTTCCTTGAGTATCCCAGACATGTTCTAGAGGATTTAGATCTGGCAATCTAGCTGGCCAGTCCAACGATTTAATATCTTCACTTTCCAAAAAATCTGGCACCAGATTAGCACTATATAGCCAAGCTTTCTCATCTATAAAATGAACTGAGGACCAGCTGTACTCCTGAAAAAGTGAATATAGTTCTGTAAGATCATGTTATCAGGTTCACTCAAAAGACTTTGTGATGTTTTTTTTTTTTTTTTTTTTTTTTTTAATGAAAATAAAATGTTTTGTCCAAGCGTTTTTTGTTATTCGATATCAAATTATGTGCTGCACAAAATAGTGTGTTGAGTTTCTTATCCTTATATAGTTTTTTTTTTTTTTTTCAAGTCATTAATATAATTAATATAAAGCATCAAGTCGACCCCGAAAGAAAGCAGTTTTGTCACTTTGTGCTGGGTTTTGGGTTTAATTGAGGTGCCAAAGCCACAAAGCTGCGCGGGAGGTTTGCGAAGTGTGTGGCGAAGAAGCAATGCCTCTTATGATGGCTCAAATTTGATTCAAGTTATTCAAAGATGGTGATTTCTACCTTCGGGGCACTGAACAACCTATTGAATATTGAGAAGAAGTTGTAAAGACCAATGGGGAATACATTATTAATTAATTTGTGTACAGAACTTATGAGCCAAACCAATAGATAGGTATATTTGCATCCTGCTCATATCTGGGGATAACAGAATCCATTTAGGGTCAGTGGATGCCCATTCTTTTTAAGCCAAACCACTGATTCCCAATGTATCTTCATTTGGACAGAAATAGGAACCCCCTACCTGGCCTCCAGTATCCATAAAATGGACCAACAGCGGAGAAGGTTAGGTCTTGGCGGGCATCATGTTAAATGGAGACACAGACCTTCATGTCTTCAACAGAAACTGCAAAGTATAGGAAAGAGTTCTTGGAGCCCTTTGTTTGCCTTTTCAAGAATACTTTGACCCTTAGTTTTCTTTTATGAATGATAACACTCATCCACATAGAGCTTATCTGGTAGATGATTTTTTTTTTTTTTTTTTTTTTTTTTTAAGTGTAGTTATCAACTGTATGGCTTTGTCAGCAAGTTAAAATATGCCTTTGAGAGCAACAGCAGACTGCCTTGAAACAGTGGAGCCAGCTGCCATAAAAATTCATTAACTTACTTATTCCGATTATGAAGTTACGTCATAAGAACTGTATGACTGTTAAAGGGGACCATAGCCCATATTAGCTTCTTTTTGGGGGAGGACAACCTTTGTTTTTTAAAACTACCTATGCTGAAAGCCTAATGCATGATCGTACATCTGTACTATTGTATGATATATATTGTTTTATATCAGTCTGTTTAAATACCACATTTCATTGAAATGTGTCTATTAGTTCAAGAAATAATTAACTATATGTGAAAATTCTTTTAAATCTGGACACAATTGTATATCAGTATTTGCAAGCGTGACAATATATGCCTTTTCTTAATATATGGAAACATTATCTGTCAAATTAATACCAGATTAAATCAAAATAAATGGGAAAAGATAAGCAAATCTTTTCTTTAAATTATATTTTGACAGAAAGCTATCAATTTTGTAAAATTGTTTGTGTAAGTGCCGGTATTGTTATTAGAAATAACTACTAATATAGATAAAAATGTTATGCAATACATTAATTCTTCATTAGCAGTAATTTAATAAATTATGTTAATTTTTTAATATAGATTTAATCCAAGAGTCTTAGAGTCCAAAGGTTAGATTTGTCCTAATAGTTGTAAAAGATTTTATGCTTCTCCACACATATTTTCTAAAAATGATTTAATTTGTGTTTTTGTGAACACCCATTAACTTTCATGAAAAATTTCTTTTATTTGGATGATATACAATGCCTTTGTTAAACTAGAAGACTGCTATATCTAGTCAATGGCCGATTTCTGGATCTATGAAAATACATTGCATGGTTGATTTTTAAATTCTAAAATCTAGTTGCTTCTAACCCTGTTGTGTAGATTTTCAAAAATTTGACTATATTTATTGATCCTTCATTTGAACTTGCGTGTACTTAAAAAGTCAGAACTTATCAGTCTTCTAGTTGATATTGAATATGCATTGCTGAGATGAAATGCCTGATGTAGTTTTTATGTTTACTGACAAATGTTTTATCCGTTTCAATGGAATATTTTTACTATTTTTTACCATTATTATTAATATTTTGTGATACTTCTCTAATAATGTAGTATATATTTCATGCATATAATTTATTACTGTTTCCTGTGGTGCAATTTCATTTTGCTTATGTTTTCTCTGGTGTTAATTGGTTACTTTTCTTCTTGCACCAATATCAGAAGCCATGAGAATATATCACTTGTTCCCAACTACTGAGCAAATAAAGAAAAATTATGTTCCATTAAAAATAATAAATGTGACCTGCAGATTCAATACTTAAAAGGAAAAAAAAAATTATTTATTTTTTATTGTTATAAGAAACAAATAAAATCAAAACTGTATAACAACAAATGAAATAAGAAAAAATTGGCAATAAGTATTATTTTTGTTTTTTCTCTTCTGGCAAAGTGGAATTTGAGGAAAATTTACAGCCCTCAACAGTTGTTTGCTTAATTTTATTATGGTGATTTTTTGGAGACTATGAATCAATAAAATAAGATCATTATTAAGTTGTTTAGAAAGATATATAAGCTAATAAAGGCAGGGTTTGTATAGTCCTTAAAAGTCCTTAGATTTTTTGGAATCGATTTTTGGTCCTTAAAAGTCCTTAATTTTGGACAAACTCAGCAGAAGGTCCTTAATTTTAATCATCTGAAATTTCTGTCTTGTTTTTATGACTGCCATTTTGAGTGTGAATTGGCATGTTGGGGGAATATTTTTGGTGATTCACTGACATATATGGTTATCTTTTGAATGGGTTCATGGGTTATGATTTGTTTCTATTTTTAATATAAATGATGGAATACTCGAGTTTCTAAGCAAGAAGTGAAACATAAGCATTTTGAAATTATTTTTTTCTAATAAAGAGCTTTTAAACAACTTTTCGCTTTTGGGATGTGCATTCTTTTATTAAACGGTTCTAAATTTGGCGGCTTATCAATATTTTGGCGATTTTAAGATCAGTTTCCGTAGAAAAATTTTAATTCCGAAATCTGAGAATTTTTCAACGATTTTTTTTTTAAAACATTGATAAATTTCATTAAAATAATGGTATTATATTGTATATTACCATTATATATAAGTATATTTAAAAAATAACATTAAAATAAAACATTTTTATTTTTCTCTGTCATATTATAAAGTTTCATTTTGGCAACTTATCATACAATATTTTGAATCTGAAAAATAAACAAGGTATAATGCTCTAAAGCACAATTTACGAAACAGCTCTTAGCAAAAGCAAAATTAGCTATGTAATTAATTAAAAATATCTTCTTTTCAATTTTTTAATAGTAAGAGTTTTGGCTAAAGTGCAGAATCGCCCACTTATTTGTTTGGTGCTCTTTACAAGAGTAAGAAGAATTGGATTTTTGTCAAATTTCTTTGACTTTTTAAGTGAAAATAGGTCGATGTGTACATGGATTAAGTCAAGGGAGTGCACAATTCTGGGATGTTTTTTTAAGTGAAAATAGGTTGATGTGTACATGGATACCGAGTATGTGCAATTCTTAAAAACATGCCAAGCAGTGGGCGATTCTGCACTTTCCCCAGAGTTTTTCCAATGTAATTGTTTCAGAATATTCAAAATTCTCAAAATGTGCATCAGTTTTCTCTATAAAATTAATTTTACACTTTTTTCCCTCCCCTTTTCTTTTTTTTTTTTTTTTTCCCCTTCAAAATATTTTTGGCTTTTTGCTGTTACAGAATTGGTAGCGATAATTTTTGTTTAGGATTTTAGACATTGCAGCTTGGAAAATTTAGAAGGATTTGAAGGCAAGATTTATAGACCTATGATTCTAGAAGATTTGAGAAATACGTGACAAAATTAAAAATGTCTCCATTGTATTAACATGTAATGGAGGTATTTTAGAGAAAGTTTGCAATGAATTTCTTACTTTTTGGAGAACGTCTGGAAGAAAAATGAAAACATAATATTTGAATGTTTTATTTCTGATACTAGAGTCTTAACATGTTTATGTAACTCTTTATTTTCTCTTTCCCACATTTTCACTAGACTCAAGCTTGGAAAATATTAAAAATGCTTCTAATCTTATGATATGGGCAGACATTATAGAAAGGGATTTTTTTATTAAGAAATTGAAAACTTATAATTTAAAAGATTAATCTAATATGTTTTAATGTATCATACACAATCATTCTAAAAATTCTGCCACATCAGCTCTGTAACCAGCCTTTACCATATATACTTCATATTTCTTCTAAATGTTCATATTACTAAAGAAATAAAATTAGCCCTTTTTTCTATACATTCTAAATGCATTTAGTGTTTTTTAGAATAACAGAAATCCTTAATTAAATCCAAAAATTGTAAAATGGAAAGGAAATATGTTGAAGAAAGAAACTGAATACATAAAGAAAATTATTCTTCAAAAATATGTGCAGTTATTATTATGTAAATTACCTAACTGTTTATGATTTCAGCCTTTTATTATAATTTTCCATTTCTATTTCCTCATATGATAGAGTTACTGAGCCAGATTAAATTAAAATTAAATTGTATAATCTTTGACCACTACTCCACATTTTTAGTTCGAATTTGACTATTCTTGTTTAATTACGTCACCATGGAATGTAATTGATTTTGTTAGCATCAAAACATGCCTTTATGTTCGAAGTTCTTTTTAAATAAGAGGCTTATTTAAACCTTTATCTGATATTGTAGTTACTTTCAGACCATAGCGATATATGCTTCACACCTGTCAGGGGTTTTGGACTATTAACTTTACCAGATCAGTAAACCCTCATAGGTACATTGTGGAGAGGTTGACAAGTTAGGAGATAAAGCACACAGAAACTAGTGAGAGCATTGGTTTGCACGTTGAAACAAATCTGTAATTCTTAGAAAAAATGCTTAAAGAGAAGGAAATCCATATAAACTAGCCAAAATGTTTGGGAAGGCTTCAAATTAAAATGACAAATAAATATTTTGTTGAGTGTTGTTCTTACAAAACATAAATGTTTTGTAGCTTTTAATGTGTAATTATCCTAATATCATTTAAGAATCAATATCATAAATTACATGTATTTTAAACTGTGAAATTTTATTAGATTTTGATTTTAATAGCGCTTTTTTTTAACAAATATTGTTAAAAAATAAAATTTAATAGTGGCCATGTAAATCCATGATAACTAAGGTTACCAAACTACCTAATTTAATTATTTATAACTAACTGCTTACCTTTAAAAATTATCTCTACATATTAAAGTGAATTATTACCTTTCATTAATCCTTACCGTGGTCACAAGATAAAACACAAAATTGTAAAAATTCATGCAGAACTTATTCTTTGCATTTAGTGAGACCTGAAATAATACAAAACAACTTATCACGTGTGGTGTTTTAGTGGAACCTTAAAGTATATTAATTGGGTTACAATCTTTGAACTCTACAAGAAGCTGCGGCACAAACTGTGTCAGACAGAGCCCAACTAACTTTCAAAACTTGTCAACTATGCCTACATCAGGCCTTTCAGGTTTTTTCTAATCAACAGATCCCTCTCTAGACAAGCAGCAGCGGTAACAACATTCAGTCTTTTGTTATGAATCATGCTGATTACACGATGTTTAATTTGATTCATCGACATTAAGCCTTTAAGCGAATTAAAATTTCGTACTTCCACACCGTTTAACCACTCATCTAGATAATTCTTTAACTCAAAAGCAGAATCTTTATAGAGGGTAACTGCACACTGCTGGTGCTGAAAAAATTTTACACAGTCTCTGGTCTGAGCTTAAAACATCTGCAAAGAACATTCCTTACATTCCATATATCTCGTGTAATGTCCGCACCCAAAAAGCTAAAGAACTTCTTACTTTAAAATATATATTCTTTTAACATCGCCTTTTTCCCTTTAGTCAATATACATCTTTAAAAAAAATAATAATATGCATTTGTTTTGTCTTTGGTTGGCGCCAAGTTGGAAAGCAGAGACTTCCCTTGCATTCTGGTGCAGCTGTTATTCGGTCATAACATCAGTGCCAGCAATCCACTGGGAAGACACAATAGTAAATGAAGGCAGTGCAATCAAGTTTGCGCGCTGGCTTCAGAAAATACTGTTTTGTAATGAAATTACTTTCCCCTACTTCCTTGAAGCATTCGCCTATTTCAAGCTTTCTCTTTTCATTCACAATATCATTTGGAATTCATGGTAGTTAGCAAGTAGTGAACTTGAAATGAGAAAATACAGCAGCTATACAACATCTTTTAAACTGAAAGAAGAATTTGCACAAGAAAATGGAAAAAGAGCATCAGCAAGAATATTTAAAATGAACGAATAGTGTGCACACAATTGGAACAAACAGTGTGATCAACTGGTGGCATCGAACAAAACAAGATGTGCATTTCGTAGTTAAAAATGTAAGTTAGAAATGAACTTAGAACTTAATTGCATATCTGTGTGATATGCATGCTCAAGGGTACGCAGTAACACGGGAAATGTGCCAAATAAGAGCGCTTGTTGCAGCACAAGAAGAAGACATTCCTACATCACAATTCAAGGCGAGTGAATGTTGGTTGTGGCAAATGATAAAACGAAATGGATTTTCATACACTCCATCAGAACAGATTTTTTTAAAAAATAATGTTGGCAAGATATTAAAAGAACCAATGTTTATTTAATTTGTGTAAAAGTAAGTATTAAAATTGCAAGTGTTGGTTAGTTTGTGCTTCTATATTGTGCTCCTTTGCGAACTACTACGCACCGAGTGTTGATAACTTAAACGGGGTAATTTATATTATATATGTTGATGGGAGAATGTGAGTTTGTAATTTTTAGGTAGCTATTAGACAACTTTAAATTTGATATTTTGATTACTTATTGCCATTTTTGTCCACTTAGAACTTAACTTAGCTGTTTGAAAGGAAATTTACACTCAAAATTACTCATTAGAGAAAGTGCAACATTTGAACGACCTGTGTAATGTTGGAATTTGCATTTTAATGATCTAATTTTAGTAAAAAAATGTTCGAACATTATGTGAGCGTATATGGTATGTATCAAGCTTCTCTTCCGGCTTCTGTGAACAGAAACATTGTCCACTAGCAGAGAGCCAATAAATGCGACACCCAGTCATCTTCATCTGCATTTGCTTTGCGGCCGCTCAAACATCGGAATAAAGTGAAATATCCAATGATTCAAGATAAAAGCTCTGAAACTCTGCATTTCTCTTGTAGGCCTTGGAATATTATTTTAAGAATTTTATCTGTTTGTCACTGCGTTTATTCCAATTTAAACTCTCTCTCCTTTCCTTCTCAGGTGTATGCTGTTTTGCTTCTTTTAGCCTACGCTGTTCAACTCAAACTTCAATAATTGACATCAGCATTAACTCGACAAATTTTTCGTTATATTGAGGACTTTGGAAAATGATGTTTTTAAGATATTGTATTTTTGCCATGAGGGGGACCTCTAAACCTATTTCCACAGATAGATTTGATGAGGTCTTGTTTTCTGGCCTTTCCAAGCTAATTAATTTTTGCTAATTAAAAAAATAATAATAATAACATCATGCAATACAATAACATGATAATGTGGATAACAATCCTACCACTTGATACCAAATAAATATATATCTCATCTGTAACAAAGTTATTAAAGAAAGTACACAATTTTTAATAAGCAACACCTGTCCTTTTTATTTAAAAATTTTGTGATAACTAATTTTAGCATGCACATCTTTTTCATATCTTTAAACGAGGATGTTTCATTCATGAGGTTTTTCACATATCTCGCTGGTTATATAATTTTGATAGCAATAGCAATGATGTTGCAATACATGTGAACATATTAGTGATAAATGTATACAAACATGCATTATTTTCAATGATATAATTTGATCACACTGAGTAGAATAAATTGTCAGTGATTTGATAATTGTGCTTTTTAACTTAAAAGAAATATATAATTTCTGCTTTACATGCATTAATTAAAATCTTATTTATTATAGAAGTAACAAGATATTTATATTATTTAAAAATAAATTAGATTTCAGTTACTTGATTGTTTATTTATGTGTTTTAGGTGATTATTTCTCCCCAGATGCCTTTTAAAATGGGACCTCGAGTATTTAGACTGATTATTGATATTGTGTTATATCATGACTTCTCAGTTTTAAATCTCACTCATCTGTTAAAAGTGAGTAAAATATATGTAAAATTCTTATTAAAAATTTTTATTGTTTCTTTCAGGAAGATAAATATTTTTTTTAGTTTTTTTCATGGTGCAATATCAAAATATTTGAGGGTTTTAGATGTTAAAGGGATTTTTTTAATAAAATGTATATCATATGAATTTTAAAGATTAATTTTGAAATTTTAATCTTTGTACCAAATTCAAGCTGTTTATAATTTTGGTAAAGTTGTGCGCAGTCAAAAGTAAAACTGATTTAAAATAATGTCTTCAACTTAATATTAAAAAAAAATAACAATGTTACTCGCGTGTGTGTTATCCTTAATTAACATATGCCTCCTTGGTGGTGCTAAATGAGTAACAGCTATGGCTAAGGCGGTTCATATTAAAAAAAATGATATGTACTATTCCTGCTCTCAAGGAAATATTTTCCCTAGATCGTTATTTTAAATTATTGCAAAGACAGTGAAATTTGAATATGCTAAATTTGTATTTATTCATTACAATAAATACAATATTGGAAGAAACGTAATATCTTATATTCAACACTAAAACAAACTTTTAGACTCTATCTCTTTTACTGCTGTGTAATTTAAAGGTATTATTACATACTGATTCAAATATAAAGCATCTTTTACATTATATTGACCTTCTAATAAACATATCTCTCTCGTGTGCAGCCTTTTGTTTAAAAAAGTATTTAGTTCATGTAATTACTTATTCTATAACTGAAAGAAAGTGTATTTACTTAGTTTAGCCTCAAAATAAGTTATATATGGCCTTTTTATAGTAAAACTTTTTCTTAGCTCCTTAACCCTTTGTGGCTCAGTGTTCCACTACATGGAACACCCAAATTGAATCGCTTCTGAAACCTTTAAATTCAACCGTAGATAGATAAAAATGCCTTTATAATATACTTTGAACTTTTCTTTTTAAACAGTAGATAGCAGCATATCACAAGGAGACACAGAATTTTCATTTGTTATATGTTATTAAAATCCACTTTTTTAAAGTAATTTTCTCTATTTTGTTAATGATATAAAAAATTTTATTTGGAAAAAAAATTAGGCATAATTTTGCTGGCTGTACTCCAAATTATTTGTTCTATATTTTTTTTAATCTGTCATACAAAAACCATACGCAGAATCATTGAATAAAACCGGGTGTTTCACTAGCGAGAACACTGCGCCTTTAGCGATCTCATGCTGTTACGAATCAGAACATCTGTGCTTAGGAGAGAACATCCGTTGTTTACGTTTTCTGTTTCCGTTGTTTTTGGGGAGAATGAATTCAAACAAAGCAGTATTGAGGGGTGAGGTGTGTTTTGTGTTATGAAAGCCCTAATATTGGCATCTCGAATTTTTTGGGAGTAGTTTTTAGGTGGGAATTTTATTAATAGCTTGACTCATCTTTACTTAGACTTGCAGGAATTTTTTGCTGTTGCTTTTTAGTCTCATTCCCGTTTATTTTCAATAATTGTGTAGATATTTTTCGTGTGTGTATATATTATAGGCTTATTTTTCTTTATTGTTAATATTAATCATAGTTAATTACTTTAACCGTAGTTGGTTTGTGCTTCCATGAAAAAGGTGTGACCTGCTTTGAACAATTTCACGAAGCTAAGAAATAGAAAAATTTGTAAATATTTTTGTATATAGGACTTGTGTATATAGATATTTATCTCATTTATCTGTATATATTCAAGAATATTGTGTATATCCAGGAAACCATGTATACAGCCATAATACAGAGATTTTTCATTCTTATACAAACGCTTTTACTCATTTTCGTGCTTCACTGCAATGCTCACTTAGTCGCACTTTTAAAAGCTCTGGCGGCGCAGTGTTCCACCTCATGGAACACCCACAGAATTAAAATGGTAAGTGCAATTTTTACAAAATTTTACCTGTATACTCCTTTAGGACTAAGTAGACTGCATACAACTTTTTTTTGTTGAAACTCTGATGTTAACGTATAGTGCGCCGCAAAGGGTTAAATGTAAAATACCTTCAAAAATGCAAAATCTGTATGTCTTTTATTCAAACAAATACAGTGTTAAGTAAATTAGTGCTTGTTTAACATCTAGGGGATTAACTTTTAATTCCATGGTTAAGTTTCCAAACTGGTTATTTGGTAGTTTAATTTAGATATCATTACTTTTAAAATGGCCTGGCTGCATGGAAATTTCCATAGCTTTTCCTTAATAGTACATCAATATGAGGCATTTTCACAACTTAAGTCCTCCAAATGAGTTTGGAGTCACCCAAGTTACAGTTACACTTACAACAGGTAGCTGTTGTGTGCTTTCTTGTAATTTGTAACTTGGGTGACTAATTTTTCCATTTTTATAGCAACTTCCATTTTTGAATTATTTTGTTTCATCCTCATTGCTCCCATATTAATCTCATGTATTTCTTGTTGTGGTTTAAAAAGTTATAAAAGTTATTAATATTTAAAGTAACTATTCTTGCCAAAGTACATTTAGGTATCAGCTGATACTAATGTCAAAAATTTAGTTTATGTTTAATTTATAACAACAAATAATGCACGCCTATTAATAAAATATCTGATTAATTATGTAATAATGAAAATTCTGTTTATGACTTCTCACATGTATCTTTTCTCGTTATGTTCAGTTTGTGTTTGCTTTCATTTTCTATCTTTCTTAATTTATTTCCATAATAGGTAATCAAATAACAATGTAAAAATGATTCTGAAAAAAGAGAGTTTAAAAAGTTGGAAGTTGAAAATTCTTCATCTGCCTACTAGATGACTTTCATTATCAAATGTTAGATTAGGATCAGCTGCAAATAAATTAATAAAAAATAACTTACTTTCCTCACTCTTGTGATGGTGTATATAAATCTCTTTTACGTTCATGACAGGAATTTGATCAGCTTGTATATAACTTGTTCACTAAATAAGTAATTTTTATTTCCTTGTTTTAATTTTTGTATAGAAGGATAATATCTATGAGTATAAACATTTCAAATCTTAACATTTATGCTGTTAACACTAAATCTGGGAATCCTGTAATCTGCATCTGCTGTTACTTTGTGAAACATTAAATTTTTGTTTTTAATTAGTATTTGACATGAAATTGATACTTAAAATACTTATATATACTCATATAGCTTAGCAGTTTATTATTTTGCTTGCTGTTATTTTTGTCTTTGTAGTATTCTGTTGCAGAACACTTTTTTGGAAGTAGTATTGCAAAATTATGCTGTAATGAATCAGAAATTCAGAAGAAGGTTCAAAATATGGACAGTGAGGATCTTGAACTTCTGAAAATGCTGCCATCTTTTCAAATGTATGCAGGATTTTTAATTAAAAATCTTATCTGTTAACTTCTTTTTATTTATCTTAAAAGCTAATGTTTATAAATCATTTTAACTTAATTCTTTTATTTCATAAATATGTATCTTTTTAGGTACTTAAAAACTAAGCCAAACCTTACACCACAAAAAGATTTTAAGGTAAGGAATTTTTCATTTGAACATAAAAAATTTCTTTCTTTCATATTGCTGTTATGTTACTGTAGTGAGCTTCTGTAATGATCATTTAATCACCAAGGGGGGAGAAATTTATATTGTATTATATGTTTCTCAACTGACTGAATTCAGCAGCAAAATTGAATTTTACTAATTCAGATCTGCATTAGAAAATGTCATGTATTCTTATTGTGTAAGCTGTAATTTCAGAATGCATTAAAATATATATGTCATATAGTGTTTCTTTTAAGGAAATGTTAAGTACATCATTCTACTTAAATTTGTTATCACGTATCAGCAGCAGTCTTGGATAATTTAATAGTCAAAAATAAAGTAAATAATTCTCAGAAATTTAAAAATCATCAACTAAATTAGAATAAAATCAGGATCTTCTAGATTAAAAAGGCTAATACGAGTAGTATAAAATGTCAAAAATTAAAACACTTGATGGTATTGCTTCTTAGCTATTGTTAGCTTCTCTTGCTGTAATCACTCACTTTTTTGAAACCCACCCAATTAGATTTAGGGACTTCTATTCTATAATGCCTCTAAATGATAAAATAGCAGTCCTTAAAAAAAAAGTGGGGAGAAATAATGTTATTTCTGTCTTGTTTGTTGTTGTGAAAGCTGTTGATAGGTATGGCCAAGATGGTTGAATTTAATAAAACTGATGTATCCACCTGAACTTATCTTTGTCATCAGAAATATTAAATATATCAGTATTTAGTCTATATGAATTCCAGATATTTAAGTTATTAAGGTGGTTATGTTATAATGCTTACACCTGCACACTCTTGCCTTTATCATGCAAGAGTGTGCAGGAGTAAGCATTACAACATAAGGAGGAGTAAGCATTACAGCATATTTTTCCTTTTTATGTTAATGGTAATTCAAATCTGGAAAACATACAACTAGTAACTATTTGTGAAGTCTATTTATCCATAGCATGCAACTAGAAAATTATGAAACTATTTTGATCCCACTTTCAATTGATTCAAGAACTTGAAATCTAAATTCAGTACAGAAATTATTCCCACCCCCCTCCAAAATTTAACCTTCCTCTCAAGCTAGGAACCTATGAATAATATTGAAATCATTGACACTAAACTCTCTTTCAAGTCTCTCACCATTTATACTAAAGCCATCAAAACTTGTACAAATATTTGTCCAATAACTGGATGCCTTTGCAAATTAAATATTAAATGGAAAGGGATTTTATATTTTTCTCTGAAAGGATGCTGTTCTATTCTGCTCTCTAATCTGAGCTTCCGCACAATGATAAACTGTGAACATCTTCAGAATAAGGTTTAAAGAACTATTTTAAACTTAGCCTAGTTTTCTTGGAATGCTACAGTTTTTACCAAACTAAAGATCTGCTTTATTATGTGATGTGCTTATTTCAATTCTGAAATTCTATATGATGTGTAAGAGCCACAATTTAGTAAAGAAATTAGGGTGCTACAATGAATTAGTCAAGCAACCTTGCAAACAACCAATATCATTTTTCACACTGAAAGATGGCTTAATAATTTGTGTTAATACTTTTGTGTATGTAAAATTTTATTAATATAATGAATGTCCTTGGTTTCTTGCTAATACTTTATTGTATTATAGTTTAATAACAAGAACTTAAATTACTGTGATATAGATGCTTTTCTTTTCTGATAATTTGGATTGGTCAGAGTCCGTGCTTCTCAAACATTTTATTTACTGCTTACTTTTTGATAAAAATTGAATGCTTGCCTCCAAGAATATCCACATCTGATGTTTTAAATACAGTAGAAGTTCAGAAATCCACAAAGCTTGGGACCAGAGGTTGTGCGGATTTTAGGATTTTGTGGATTTCAGGACAGAAAAGATAAAGCATAATATTCGGACTAAAAGTCCAAAATAAATAAGGCATATTAGATACATTTAATTAAATTATTATACGCATTATTGAAGTAATTTATTATATGCATTAAATTATTATTACATGTATAGATTGATTATATTATTCATTGTATTATATGTACGCAGCATCAAGGTTTGCTGATATCGCCAGAAAATTTTATTCCTTATATCGATCATGATGATTTCAAGTTTTAAGAACCTGCGTATCTTCAATGACAATCATTAAAGGTGCTAATCTTTTTTCTTTGAAGGCGTTGCAAAATTAGGTTAAAAATATAATGTAGAACCTATGCTTTACTAAGTAAGAATTTTTTTGCTGTGTTCAACAACCAGTTGCTAAAGGCCCATCTACATGAGCAGATATATCTCCAAATGTTTAAATAAAGGGCAAAATTATAACTTTGACTTGACTCGGAGACTTTCACCATTACCAAAATAAAGTATTGTTTGAATTTTAACAAATCTTCAAATGATGAAAAAGCTTCATTTACCACCTGCTGGTTGCAGACAATAAATGTTATACAAGGTAACCAAAAAAATTCTTGTCGTTTTGGACAGTCAGAAAGAAAAAGCATAAAACAAATAATAATCACCATTAATCCTCAAAAAAATCACCATCAGCATCCAGTGCCTTTTGCCAATGAGTGGCTAGCTGTGTGATGCCACTGCAGTAAAACTCGGGAGTCTTGAACATAAAGAAGTCTGACGGCGACTTGATTCTGCTGCTGACAGGCCCACTTTAAAATCACACAGCAGACAACTCACTCCGAACGAGCACATTTGACGTGTCTATTTCAATCAGTCACTGTGTGAGTTATGTTTGAAGTACCGATGCAGTGCATTTTACACTCTTGGTCAATATTCGGACTCCCATCCTAACCACTTCATTGCCAGGTTTGGTGACTATTTTTTATGTTGGAGTTCACTCTTACAATGTCATATCAGATAGGGCAAGAACGTTTTTTGTTACCTTGTGAACAGTTGTGCAACATGTGATTGCCAGACACATTAAAGCCCAACTCCATAAGGATGGATAATTCGGAAAAAGTTTTTCTCAATGTCTGTGGAGCGTGCACCAGTCTGTTTACACAGAGATAAGTATTGCTGTTACACCAGATATGTGTCTGTGGTACCTGCAGCAAGAGTCATGCTCCTTAGCCACAATAGAATGCAATGTTACTGTGGTGACAGCCATTGAAATGGCATATGGAAATCATGTGTCCAAAAACAATGCCAGCTACTGAATCAGTGTTTGCTTAATACACTCATGTCCATAAATTAAGGATAATGCAAAATCAGGCAAAGGAAGAGTTAGAAGCGAAACAAAGTTGACTTATTTGTAAAGCTTATTTATTAAACAAAAGGTAAAGAGCATAAAAAGATGCTATATCTTTGATATCATTAAACAAATTAGCGATTTTTTTCTCCCTGGAGCAAATTACAAAAATAGATTGTTAATACATTGTATGTCTCCCAGATGATGCAATACAGTCCGTACAATGCCTAGGCATGCTGAGTATCAAATTATCGATCTGATCTTGGGAGATATTACACAACTCAAAAAGCAATGCTCTCCGAAGTTCCGGTAGACATGTAGGAGGAGGTTGACGGGCTGCAACTCATCAGCCAAGCATGTCCACACGTGCTGTACGGTATTCAAGTCCGCTGAGAATGCTGGCCAGTCCATATGGGTGATATTCTCCGATTGAAGGCATTCGCTTACGATGTTTGCATGGTGAGGACGGGCATTGTCATCCATAAACACAAATTGTGTGCCCATGGCTACCCGAAACAAACGTACATGTTGTCCAGAATGACGTCCCGATAGATTTGGCTTTTCATGGCTCCAATTTGAACATACAGGTCAGTTCTGGAACCCAGAATAATTCCTACCTAAACGAGCACTCTTGCACCACCATAACGGTGTCGTTCAATGATGTTTTCTTGGTGGTAACGGGTACCTGGAGCTCTCCATATGAAAGTCCGGCAAGAATCAGACTGCAAGCTAAACCTGGACTTGTCGGAAAACATCACACAAGCCCACTGTTGCGGTGTACACAATGCATGCTCTCTACTCCAGGCTAACTGCAGGCAACAGTGAGTTGCAGTAAGTGGAACGCATCTGATAGGTCTACGAGCATATAAATCAATCTGCCCTAAGCGTCTGTACACGGTCTGCCTTGAAATTGTCATACCAGTAGCTGAAGAGAGCTGACGAGATAGGTACCAGGCTGTGCTCCACCTGTTTCTTTTGGCAGTAACTGCCAAATACCGGTTCTAATTCGGCGTTGTAACTCTGGGGCGACCTGTGCTGTGTCATCTACTCACATTACCATCATCTTGGAATCGTTGCCAAGGCCTGGAGATGACACTTAATGGGCAATTCCAAGTTTGTCTGATACTTCCAGTTGGGTACGCCCACATTCCAAACAGCCAATAATTCTACCACGTAAAAAATCATCCAAATGCGTCCTTTGTGTCATAACTGTTCGGTTATTGCACTGAAATGCTTATAAAGCGCCTGCGAACAATTTTACTTCTTTGTCTGTATTCCTTATCTATCACTCTCTTACACTGTCATCATTGTGACGTACCATCGGTGTCATCTGGTTACTTCCTGAAATTTGCATATGATTCTTAAAGATGTGTGTAGTGATTTCACAGGTGCTATATTTATTTTAGAGTTCAATTTCCACGTGAATCCTTAATTTATGGACATGAGTGTAAATAATATACTCTACGAATTATTTGGAGTTTTTGTTATTATTTTAATAAATTTAATTAATATATCATTTGCTTTGGATCATAATTTTTGATGGATTTCTTTATAAATGATATAAATGATAGAATATTTTTTCACGCAGATACAAGTAATTTCTTACTTACCAAGAGATGGTTTTTTTTTTTTTTTTTTTTTTTTTTTTTTTTTTGTTGTTGTTGTGTGTGTGTGTGTGTGTGTGCTTTATTTGTTATTTTTAACAAAATATGTTAGATTTTTTTTACTGTTTAAGAGGATTACTATATTCTTATGTTTCGATAAGTCTGACAAATAAAAAAAAAGATCTTAATTTTTTGTCTGTGCATTTAATTATATTTCTTATTCCATTTTCTATTGTTAGAGATTTTTTTCAACTTTTGGTTATGTCTAGCTAGCTCGATTGCTTAGCATTAAATTTTCATACATCATCAGACTTTGAGTTTGAATCCAACTGAGCTATTTTCTAATTTTTCCCTCAAAACAGATGTTTTATTGTTTCTGTAATTAACAGACTTCTGTTAATATAAAAATTATTAAAATGTTTGCATAATGTAAAACAGTTTTATATTTTATTATTATATATAAAATATCATTTTATATTAATTATATAAATATAGTTATTGGATTTTTTATGTTATTTGTAAAGTAATAAAAATCTCCATTTCTGTTTCATGTATGTAAAATGTATGCTTTATTATTAATCTAATTCCCAGTAATGTGTGTTATATTTTATGTGATATATAAAGCAGTTAGTTTATATTTTTCTTCTTTTGTATAAATGAATGATTATATATATATATATATATATATATACATGCATTAAGTTTCACAATTAATTGCTTTCCTTTTTTTCTTAAATAGTTTGATTTTTTTTTTAATTTAAATCTTTTATTTATTTTCCATTTTTGCCATTTGTAATCACTTTTTGTATCTGCTGTTAAGCGTGATGTTTATTATTACTCTTATTATTATTACAATTTATTTAAGAAATTAAGCTCTAGAAAATGAAGGCATTAAAATTTTATGTTTGTCGTAAGACGGATCAAGTTCTATTGGATACAAAATCATATCATCTGCTTTGACTTCTGTGATTGGCTTAGTTGCTCAGAGCACCTTTAGAAACAAAATTGCTTTAAGTGGACGGAATGCAGTCAGGAGACATGTCTGCGAGGGTAAAAAAAAGGTTTTATTTATGAGTAATAATGTAAAGAATGTGAAAGTCAGTAGATGATAAATCCAGCTCTGGTAGCTATAAAAGCGGATATTCAATTGAGTCTATTAAAATGCCAATGTCCAGCTGCGGTAGATTGTGCTATAAATAGAGCAAGCTGCGGTAGATTGTGCTATAAATAGAGCAACTGGTCAGCTAGTTGGTATGTATTTATGTATGGCTCTATTTACTTGCCCAACATGTTCAATAGGTGACAGGTCTGGAGACCTGGTAGGCCAATCGAGGACATTAACGCATTAAAGACATTATTAGGAAAAGTTGTGCTATAATGTGGCTAAGCATTATCCTGCTGAAAAACAGAACCTGAAGGACCTGCAAGCACAGGCTGCAAAATGTCATCAGTGTAGCTGCGAGCAGTCAGAATACCTCACAACACAATGAATGGTGAACAGTTGTCCCACCTCATCGCTTCCCAGTTTGTCACAGCCTGTGTTCTCGCTGTGTGCTTCTCGGTAATAGATGAATCGCTCACCTGTCTCTAGAGAAATATGCAGTAGTCATCAGCGTTGAGAAAAAGCGGGATTCGTTGCTGAAGATCACGTTTCTTCAGTCGGACACTGCCTAGCTTAAGCTAGAGCGGCACCATACAAGAATCGACTCTGCTTATGGTGGAGTGTCAATGGCAAATGTGTTAATGGACATCAAGATCTGAGCTCAACATCACCCAGTCTTCTATAAATCATATCCCTGGATATCCAGGTATTCCTGCTAGTTGGCAAATGGTGTTGAAATAATGGTAGCATAATCATTTGTGTGGATGTAGTAGCTCTTCCAATTGTGTGATCATCTCGTGCATTAGTGGCCCGAGAACATCCCAAGCCATTCCAGCAGCTAACTGTGCCTTTGCTAAGCCACTGTTCAAACAGCAGATAACAACCATATCACTTCGACCAATATGCTGCCCGATCTTTCTGTTTGACCAACCAAACTCTTTTAGCCTTATAATGCAATCTCTGTCAAAGTCTGGCAACTGTTCGTAACACAGTCGATTACATCTTAAAGGCATCTTTTATTAAAATATCGTGTATCCAAGCTGTCAATGTGGTTGTAAATGCGTCATGTGCCGTACGTGCACATTTACATTCTCCCGGCTGTGCACTTCAGAGATGCACTGTATTACTCCACAATGCTGATTGGTACTACAAATTTAATCATTTACATATTTGGCAAACCACATTTGTATGCCATTTTTCGTAATTCTGGATCAATTTTTTCTAGTTGTATATATTTTTTGCAACAGAGTAAATTTCCCTTCTTTTCTATATTTTCTCATGGATTTTTTTTTTTTTTTTTTTTTTTTTTTTTTTTTCCTGTTTGAATTTTTTTTTATTAAACGTGATAAATTTGTAGACATGGCTGGGTGGAAAGGCAGGATGTTGAAAAAACTGAATTGAAGAATCACCATCTTTATTTTTACACATCTCAAATCATCTCTTTGGCAGACAAATTACTTTTCAATCATCGTTGAATACAAATAATTTTTATATGGACAGGTAAAAAGCTACAATGTCATTACAGGCAGGAAAGCATAATTAGCAGGGAGATGTTGACATGGCGGAAGCTAGGAAAAAGGGGCAGAGTAATTGCTCAAAGCAATATTTATATTACATAGATGAAAATGCAAAGCTAAGCCACGATTGGTCAACTTTACTTTTAGTTACCTTTCTCAAGCAGTGTTACGTAATTTGGAAAGATCTCGAATTTGGGAAAACGCATGAATCTAGGGGTAGAGCACCAAATCTAGAATCATTAATTTTAAGGTTGCCAATTATTCTTAAAGCAGCTATTATATTTTATTATATCTTACATATATATTTATTTATATTTGCTGATAATTGTAAAATCTCTTTCATGTTCTAGGTTACTGTCCTGAAACTTTTCAAAAAGATTTTCCGTTATCAGAATATTGTAAAAATTTTATTGAAATTCTTACATTGTTTAGTAAAGGATTTGCCTGGTTATCCATTAGGAAGAAAGGTAATTATTGCTAAATGTATAGTACTTTGTAATTTAGAATGTAGCAAATATGTTATAAAATTTCGAAAATAAGTCTTGTTTTGATTTATTAAATGTATATTAAAAAAAACAGCTTTTGTATAATTGTAAATGCTCTGAGGGTTTTATATTGAGAAATGTTATGAAGCTGTTCTTTGTGTGTTGTCAGGAGACTGTTTCTGTCATTGTTTTAGGAATTTGTCCTAAAATCCTAAATTGCGTTAAATATTAAAAACATGGAATAAATTATAAAGTGTATAATGGTTTTTATCATCTACTATTATTCTGTCAGTGGCTTAGAATAAATTAACTAAAATATATTAAAAATATAATATGCAGTATTGGTTTGTTTTATACTGACAAGTTTGACTGTCTAATGAATTTTTTATATGAAAGAAAATTATATAACAAATAAATTTAAATGAAAAGTGCTAACATACAAATAATCTTAAATTTTGTGAAGAATTTAGTCATAATTTGGCACTTGCGTATTATCACAACCACCTTAGTGGAAATCGCCAAAGCTTCAGAATTCACCAAACTCTGGTAACTAACTACATGCATAACAATTATTCTTTCAACCATGTGCATGACAAATATTCAGTTTCTAATATTTTCATATGTGTTCTTGTTGTTATATTCTAAGTTCCAGTGGATATTTATAGAAAATTTACGATTATTTTTTGTCTTAAACTTGATTTTCAAATTTGTGTTTGTAGAATTTTGCTATAATAGAACGAAACTAAAATTTCTGTAGGAATACATTATTTTGCCACAAAATTGCTAAAGAAACAATCCTTCGAATTCTTTCTCAAAAGGATTGCAATGAAATTTTTACCACAACAAAAACCCTTTTGTAATTGTTTTGTTTACAAAACTTTACTGACTGTTCTTTTGAATAAATATATCGTTGAAGCATAGAATAATGCACTAATATTTGTGAAAAATACAACACCATGTAAGAATTCTTGGAAATGAATAAAATTTATTCCACGTACACTGACTACCAATAAGTATTTGGACACCTGTGATAGAAAAGAAAAACTAACTTTATTCAAAATCAATAAATGGTAGAGCCTCCACTAGAGGTAATTACAGCGTGGACCCTCCGGGGCATACTTTCCACAAGTCTTTGTATGACAGCTAGTGGTATTTTCTTCCACTCGGCTTGGAGGAGACATAGAAGTTCCTTCACCAATTTTGCACGCATAGTGCGCCCCTGAATTCGGCGATGCAACTCGTCCGAGAGGTTCTCGATAGGGTTCAGGTCTGGACTCTGGGCAGGCCAGTCCATTCGATGAACTCCATTGGCACCATACCAAGCCTTGGTTAACGTCGAAATATGACAACTGGCATTGTCGTCCTGAAAGTAACAGGGGTCCAACCCGTAAAACTGCCACAACGTAGGAAGCACGTTGTCATCCAAAATAGTGCAGTAGGCATCAGAGTTGAGCTTACCATAAATGGGGACCAAGGGTCCCAGCCCATACCAGGAGAAACAACCCAGACCATAATTCCACCTCCGCCGAACTTGACTGTTGGCACAATGCATTCTGGCAGGAGATGTTCTCCAGGTAGACGCCAGACCCAGACCCTGCCATCCGAACGGTAAAGGGCGAACCTTGATTTATCACTCCAAAGAACTCATTTCCACTGATCTACGGTCCAATTTCGATGTGCTTTGCACCACATTAACCGAGCAGTGGGGTTGGACTTTGTGATCAAAGGCTTATGGGCAGCAGCACGACCATGAAACCTGAGCAGATGTGCTTCCTTACAGATGGTATTCATTGAAACAGTACTCCTGGATGCCTGTTGAAACTCCTCGCGGATGAGGGTCATCGGTTGGGTGCGGTTCTTCTGAAATTTTCTGGACAGCACTCGTGGGTCTCTATCTCCCAGTTTCGCTGGTCTGCCGACTCGGGGCACATTCCGACAATCAGCGCTCACCTTCCACTTCTTAATCACATAGGCCACTCTCAATTTTGGGTACTTCAGATCGCTAAATATGTTCCTTAAGGATCGGCCACATTTGTGATACCCGATAATTATACCTTTCTCGAAATCAGAGAGCTCCGAACTGCAAGGCCCGATGCTGTTTCATACAAGATATATACCGGCGGAGTCCGTGACATACCTTAGGACCGCAGATATCGTCACTTGCATAGGTGTCCAAATACTTATTGGTAGTCAGTGTATTACTGATACTGGTACAAATAAATGATAAAACTTACAAGGCAAAAACAAAACGAACATCAGAAATCTGCACTTTTGTATCTGCCACACTGAACAATGAGAGCCTGTACACGTTGTGGCAAACATTATACAAATTCTGAATGTAATCCTGAGGAATGGCATTCCATGCAGCTTCGAATTGAAGCCAAAGTTCAGTCTTAGGGTGTGCCTGAGCAGCTGAACAAACAAGTCTCCAACCATTGAAATCTCAGACATGCTCAATGGGCAACATGTCTGGGGAATAAGCAGGCCATGGAAGAAGCGAAACCTGTTGTGCCCCAAAGAAGATTTGTGCCGTCCGAGAAACATGTGCACGGGTATTTTCCTGCTGAAATACTGTACCTGGAATGAGGACCTCTGGCACCACATTAATTAATTATTATTGTTGAGATGCTTGCAATCTGCATTGGGATCAAAAATTATATGCAGTAGCTCCCCCCCCCCACCATGATGATAGGCATTTATGTAATATGATGCTGGATAACACACTGTGGGAACAGACATTCCCCACTGTGATGTCTGACATGTATTCTTCCATCCTTATACTCCACATTGTAGCGAGATTCATCAGCAAAAACAACATATTGCCACACGACACACCACACACTGTGTTATCGTGCCCATTGAAGTCAGAGTTGTCTGTGATTCAGTGACAGGGAACCCAATTTTGTGCTAACACACAAGAGGACACTGTACGATCCATCACAGCCATCTGAATGAGGTGTCTATCATCCCATGCTGTTGTGCTATTGCATCCCACTGCCAGAATTTCATCTTGTTTGGTTCTCCTCTGTCCATTTCTTCCAAACACAGATCATTGTTCTGGCACACAGATCATTATGCTCCGTGCAGGCTGTGATTGCTCAATATGAAAGCCCACGATCTTGCATACCAACTAACGGCCTCATTCAAACTCCATTAGTTTTTGGTATGGCACCCTCTACTGTTGATGAGGCTTATTAACAACTAATTATATGTTCAGGACAAAAAACAGATTTCAATGCAACTTTACAGTCATCAGTTATATGCATGGAACAAGCGGCCATTTCTCATTCTATGCATGCCCAGTCGCTTTTGCTAAATAATTCTAATCATTTGCATGTTTTACCTCACTTTGCGTTTCCAGTAAGTTTGGTTCAATTTGCATAATTTTTTCATGGTGTTGCAGTTTTCACAATCATTAGTGTATTTTATAGTAAAACTAATTGTTCTTTTTATTCCATAAAATTCGCCAAAATGCTGCAAGATGGTTGTGATAATACGTCAGTACCCACAATTTTTGTCCTTCTGGTAATCTTGTCTTTGATAACAGGATGATCCTTTATTTAGCATAAAAACCTCTTCTTCCAGCATATTTCTTTAAATAATTTTGTTACGGCTTTAGATTTAGCCATTCTAAAATCATTTAATCAGGCAATGTTTAATTTAGATTTTTAAGCAAGCTGTCAATTTTTATTTCATCTGACCATAGCTTTTCTATCATCCTCCATGATTCTTCAGTTTGTTTTTCTATTATTCCTTAAAAGCAATAGTTTATTCAATTTAACAAATTTTACACCATATTAATTCTTATTACATGAAGTATGTTTTGTATTTTGACAGCATTTTTAATGGCTCAGAGATTCTCAACCAGGAGGGGAATTTTATAGTGTCAGCGAAGAAATGTAGTCAGCCTTATCAATTATTCCGTTTTAAATTTATGAATTTATGAATATGAAAAACTACTTTTTTTTCAAGTTTCCAAGTCACCATTTTTTATACGTATTTTGTTTAATTTATTAGACATGTTGAAAAATCATCTAAATCTAGATACAGTCAAAAGTCGTTAATTCGGACACCCATAATCCGGACCTCAAAGCTAAAATCTATCTGCGCTTGCACTGCATTGACGCATGCGCATAGACGTTTATGCGTGCGCGCAAGACTTTTACGACTGCGCATATGCGTCTGCGCGAGCACAGAATACGTTTTTGCGTGCGCATTTAATGTATAACGGACGGTATAAGCTAAAATTATCTAATTATCTATTTCAGTTAATGTTGATGATTGCGTTGTTCCTTAATCTTCGAATTGGATCCGGCTTATTATTTTTTGCAGACTGAAGAGCAATTTTATAAAAGTAAGCTTGAATTTTCGATTATGTCAAATAGAGTTTCCGATGCTGGAGCTCCCAAAGGATCTAGAAAACGAAAGTATGTTTCGATGTCAAACAAAAAGTGGAATTGCTACAAAAAAATGGATAAAGGCATATCCTTTGTTTATTTAATCGTTCCGAAATCTGTTTATCAATTTCACGCTGCTCTGCGCAGGGGGGAGGGACGTCATGGCGTGCAATGAACTGGAAGTTGATCTGTCAGCACTATTGTTATCTTCAAGGCAGATATTTTTATTTTATTCAGCTTATAATTCCTTACTAAATGCTGTACTTCATCTCGATGTACTCCGTCTTTGATATGATTTAAATCAAATTCCTCGTCATTATAAATATCACGAATACAAATCAAATAGTTTTCTGGTTGCAATTTTCTAATTTTGGCTATGCGTAATGTATGCTTTACACATGCGCGCGTTGAAAGAAATGTTTAATAAAGTAAACAAATAAATATTAAGCTTCTTTTTTTGTAAATTTTGATACCCTTTAGATCATAATTGCTCATTATTTTATAAATTATGGTTTCATATTTTTAATTTTATAATTTCTGCATGCCATCTTACCAGATTTAAACTGATGATCTGTAATCCGGAAAAATCGATAATCCGGAATCGCTGAAGTCCCGACGAGTCCGGATTAAAGACTTTTGACTGTATATATATATTGCGAGTTTTGGAAATACCGGGGGGATGATCTTCGAGCAGTGGTGACATGGGACAAAAAAAGGTTAAAAAACCCTGGTCAAGATGTTGGTAAAGAAAATCTTCAGTATGAAAATATCATCATCAATAATTTAATCATTGATTTAAATTATTAATTTTTCAATGATATAGGTTTTGTTTGCTTTGAAATCTTTATTATTATTATTATTATTATTATTATTATTATTTCCAGTTCAGGGAACTGTATTCTATATTTCTAGAAGAGGAAATAGTTAATACTGATGCTTATGCAGAAGCATTAAAACTTTTAAAGTAAGTTGTTTTATTATTATTACCTCTGAAATTAAAGCTATTGTTGATGATTTGAAAAACTGAATGTGGAATTGCATTTGTGACCTATCATTTTTATTTTTCAGGATGCTATCTCATAATGAACTAGTCATAAAGTTGAAAGAATGTCATGAAATAGTGAATGCTCCAGAATCCGTTTTATTAAATGCATCTGTGTTAATCCATGCAAAGACTGTTTTAGAATGTTGGATTGAGAAGCTTATGAACCTAAATGCTGGTATGTAAAGCAATTTTTTTATTTCCCAGTTAATTGAAATAATAGTTTACTTTTTTTATATAACATATGTTTTCATATAAAGTTTATCAGTTTGGTGAATAGGAAGAGAAAAAAATTTTTTGAAACCTGTATATGAATAATATATTTACAGTAAATTCCTAATTAACTTGGACTCTGTTAGTTTTCCCAGTATGCAACTTGAGTACAAATCAGTTCCCTTAAAAAGCCTTCCATAAAGGCATCCCTCCTCTTAGGCAGACAGTTCTAATGTGCTTTGCTATACTCGAATAACTCAAAACATATTTTTTTTTAATTTTTTTTTTTATATTTCTCTTTAATTTAAATAGTAGTCAATGTAAAAAAGAAGATTAATGTCTGTACACTTAATTTCTTTTTCCAGTTATCTATTCATTTTTAAATGATGATATCCCTGATTATATAAAACTTAATTGTGTAACTGTTACATTTTCTGTGTGCTATGGAAATTGCAGATGCGGTTTTATTTCTAAAAAATCTGATGTGTACACCATATAACTGTCTTGTACGAAATATAAATTACGCGCATTTGAGTTGAATTAAATCTACTTCATTGATAGCACATAAGCCTCAATAGAATAAATGCACTCTTTAAAATTCACTATACAGTCAAAAGTCGTTCGGACACCCATAATCCGGAATGATCTATAATCCGGACCTCAAAGCTACAAACTTTCTGCGCATGCGTCGCGTTTACGAGAGCGCGTAAGACCCTTACGGCTGCGAATATGTTTGTGCGCATGCGCGTTTAATGTGTAACGGAGTTATACGCTAAGCTAAAGTTATCTAATTCAGTTAATGTTGCAGATTGCGTTGTTCCTTAATCTTCGAATTGGATCCGGCTTATTATTTTTTGCAGACTGTTAGAGGAATTTTATAAAAGTAAGCTTGAACTTTCGATTATGTCAAATAGAATTTCCGATATATATTTATTACAAAGCGAAAGTATATTTTGAAATCCGAAATCTGTTTATCAATTTCACGCTGCTCTGCGGCAGAGGGGGGGGCAGAAACGTCATTATTAGATTATGATAGATTAGAAAGATTATGTCAATAGAATTTCCGATATATATTTACTAATATGTAATTTGTATCTACAAAGCGAAAGTATGTTTTGAAATCCGAAATCTGTTTATCAATTTCACACCGCGGATTGGAAGTTGATCTGTCAGCACTATCCAGATGTTTTTATTTTATTTGGTTTATAATTCCGTACTAAGTGTAGTATTTCATTTCGATGTGCTCCGTCTTTGATATGATTTAAATCAACTTCCTTGTCATTATAATTCGCTTCCGATAGTGAAGAAAGTGACCCAGAGATTATTGAAAACGAAAACATTTCGATTGACAAATTAGTCGGAATTCTCAACACAGCAATTATAGGACTTGAACAGCGGAACTTTGTAACTAAACAAGAAATTATGTCTGTTTAATAGAATTAAAGAGAAAGTATTATCACATGAAACGAAGCAACTTACATTGAAAAATGTTTAATAAAGTAAACAAATAAATATTAAGCTTTTCTTTTTGTAAATTTTGATACCCTTTAGATCATAATTGTTCTTTATTTCATAAATTACGGTTTCATATTTTTAATTTTGTAATTTCTGCATGCCATCTTACCAGATTTAAACTGATGATCTATAATCCGGAAAAATCGATAATCCGGAATCGCCGAAGTCCCGACGAGTCCGGATTAACGACTTTTGACTGTACTATATTTATTTACTATAGTGACACTCTGGTACTAGCTTCACTTACTCATTTTTTAACTTCAAATGCACAGCAATTATATCACCTGAAGAATTATGTAATCGTTGCCACATGTTTTACTCAAATTCTAAAATAAATAAATCTAAAATGATGTATAAAAGATATCAAACAAATAAAAAAGACACAGTTTTTCACAGACGATTCAGTGCCACTTACATAACGCGCATGCACTGCTCGTCAACATTATCGTCTGTCCCAGACAGACTGGCAACAATATTTGCTGCTATAAAGAAATAAAACAAATCAAAAAGGTACAGTTTTTCACAGGCTTTCAGTGTCATGCGCTACTCGTCAATATTCTATTCTATCCCAAACAGATTGACAACAATATTTGCTGCTAAACTTATTTCCTCTAATTTCGTTAAAGATATATTTCTTTGATTAATTCAGCTCTCACTTCTCTAAGCAAAGTTTTTTAACAGTTGGTTCTTAATAGACTAAATGAACATCTGGAAAATCACAATTTAAATCTCAACCTTCAATATAATTTCAAGAAGTGTACCTCAACTGAACTTACCATATCAGATGCTCTCATACATATCCAGTGCAATAAGTCTTCTAGACTGCATTCAGCGTTAATTTTAATACTGTTTTGTTATCAAGCCCGGATTCAGAAATGTGTGGATGGATGCATGTAAGTACGAATGTATATGTGTACATATACACATATATGCACATGCATACATACACACACATGGGCATACATTCATGCATTTCTGAATCTGGGCCTGATAGCAAAACAGTGTCCTAATTTCAATAGATATAAAGTGTGCATACTCCATTTGGTGGGGAGACATCCTGAATTCACTGCTTATTTAAGTGATTTGAAATATTTTTTAAAATCATTGTCATGAAAGCCATAATTAAAACTAATATTTTCTATTTCATTACATTATTATTTTTTTAAAAGATGTGTTTTACAAATGTTATTTTTCAGATGATTTTGAAAAGAAACCATTGCAAAATCTTTTATTAAATAAAAATGAAAAGTTGAGCAGATTTCGACTGCAAGAGGTATTGCAAATTTCATGTATATTTTAACTTTTATAATTTAAGTATTTGGAAAACCTGACTTAAGTACAAAATCAAGTGCTTGTAACATAACATAAACACATCTAAGTTGATTACTTGAAAATCTGCCATAATTTTCAAGTAGTCTGTGTCTTATGTTTTCCTGAATATTTTAAAAATTCTATAATTCACAGCATAGATAATTTATTACTGCTAGGTCAAAGGTGTTAGGTTTTTAAAGCAACTCATGCCCTTGGTACGTAAAAGCTGTTTTATGCATATGACTCTTTATCTGCCACCTGAGGTATTCGTTCATAGTTATTGAATTTTTAACTGTTAATTTACATTTGAATGGCTAGTCAAATATATTTGTTAAATAATGTTGAGAAAATGAACCTTAAGATTCAAGAGTTTAGTCATGTACTTCATTTACTAGATTTAATTTATATGTATTATGTGAAACTTATATAATGGATGCTTTATAAAAAATGTGTCATAAACAAAATAAGTCCATTAATTAGAGCTTCACTAAAGTGTTAGTCCATTGTATTAATATGTCTGAAAAAGATGTTGCAAAAGGGATATTGTTGGAAAAAAAATCTATAGAGTATGACTAATAGAAAGCAAGAAGTAAGATTAATAAATTAAACTATATTTTGTGTTTGTGTGTAAAATAATGAATGTGTACAAAAAATTCTAACATATAGTAGTCACTCAAGTCTCATTTTTAATTTAGTTATTTACCCTTACTGTTCTAAAAATAATGCAGTACATATGATGAATCACTCTGAACTGCATCGTTTCAAAATTAATCCTGACATGTCTCTTCCATAATGCTAATGGTTCAGGCATTTATGCAATGCTTCTACTACTAAACTCAGTGGTGCAACAGCCCTAGTGGGCCAACGTTTGCAGTGCCCCGAAATCTGCTTTCTTGAACGTAGGGCCCCGGGGTGCGTGAGCATATGCCCTAGACAAGTGGTCAGTTTGTCGCAGGACCCCTAGTGTTTAGTCCCCAAGCGAACGTGGTACTCATTTTATCAACGCACTGAAGAGATGAAAGGCTTAGTCGACCTTGGCCGGTCCAAGGATTGTACCCCGGACCTGTGGGACTGCTGCACAGCGTGCCAGCCATTTCTCCACCAGGCTTCATGCGGTGCTTCAGCCAATTTTAATTTTGTAATTTGCAGATTGAAACCTAAAATTGGCCAATAATAAAAAAGCAGAACTGTAATTTTATTAGATTTTCAAATAGAAACTATGCATTCTCTCACTTGCTGGTCTATTAATATGTCATCACTTATCTTTCTTTCATCAAATATATTGTAATAAAGATGTTAAAAAAATAATAATTTATATTTTTTCACACATTTATCACAATGACCAGTGTACTGAGATCAAACCTAATTTTAAATAATAATTAGTATAACATAATCTATATTGAATAAATTTTGAAATTATAAAATATTTTAATGCCATCTCTGTTGATCAAATCTTAAGAAATAATTATGCATTCTAATTTAAGACTTCGAAAAGATTAATTTTAGTGTTGCTGGATAAAAGCATTCATTAAGAAAAACATGATAGTTTTCTGATATGGCATTCAGTGAAATCTGTCATAATTTTCAAGTAATCTCCATTTGGTGCTTTCTCAAAACAAATTTTCAAATCATCTCGGTAATTATGGACATAGATAACTCAATACTAACAGGTCCTTGTTCTTTAGAGCAGATCATACTATGATATATAAATGTTGCTTTATCGTGATCTGTCAACTAAATCAATGGTGTCAAACTCAGATCTCCTCCAGGCCGAATGCACAATCTGAAAACAGCTTATGGGCCAGAATTTTTTTTAATGAAATGATGATTTTTTTATCAACAGAATAAAAGCTTTTTTGATAAAATTTTAAATTTCACTTATTAAATATTTATCAAAACCATACCTCTGCCATTTGACAAAAAATGGCACCACCAGTAAATTATGGTTAAGGTTGTCTGATGTAAAACATCATATCATAAGACTGTATTGTATAGTCACTGGTGATGAAAATTGGATCTGTTACAATAAGTAATAATAATCATGGGATTAAGATAATCATAATCATGGGGACCGCCTGGCCATGCTTCAATATTGACAGCCAAGCCAAATATTCATGAAAAAAATGCGCCCACTGCTACTTCAGATACAACAAAATTATTCTCCTGCACGATAGCGCTTATCCACATATTGCGACACCAGGTGAAACCTACTCAGAAACAATCAAATGAGAAGTTTTCCTCCTACTACTTTATTCACCAGACATTGCTCCATTTGATTCCTACTTGTATCATTTGACGACGCATTGCCTGTCTGAGCAGCACTTAACATCATATGAAGATACCAAAATTTGGGTTGATATGTGGATAGCCTCAGAAGATGAAGCATTTTTCTGACACAGTATCTGTGTGCTGGAGATGAGAAAAGTAGTGGCTAACAATGACTAAAACTTTGAATCAAACATAACATACCATTCTTTTACAATAAATGCCCAATTTTTAATAAAAATTACAGAGACTTATTTGTACTTCCGATATTATTTTGATTAAACTCTATTTGTACTGTATGTTGTGTATTTAAAGCCTTTGAAGACTATTTTTTGCTATTACCTACTCTAATCTCAATTTTGCAGGATCATTTCCGAATTATATGTTAATTAATTAGTGCTAATAATCAGGAGTCCAGGGTAAAAGGAATTTATGTTAAAATCAATTAACACGTTTCATTGTGAAATGAAAATAAAATGTAATCTCTCTTTCTCTGTATATATATAAATTCGGATCAATAAAATAGATAAAAGTGTGAGTAAGTAATAAGTATTAAATTATTCTGTTGCTGGAAACATCAAATGTAGGTCTACATCAAAACAACCGTCTGAACATGAAGCAAATTAGACAAATGGCAAATAAATCAGAGGCAAGGCAGAAAAATAAGAGATGAAAAATAATGGCCATTGTCTGCTAGACAATCTTGCAACCTTGGGTAACGGCATTGGATAATTTTAGGAGAAAAAGTTAAACAAAATAATTAATGAAGCTAATATACAGTTAAAAGGTAAATATACCACCTCTACTTGATTAATAAGAGAGTGAAAAAACAATGCATGAAATGTACATAGGTCGATCCAGAAATAAGGTTCTCAAAGAGCTCCAGACACACGGGAACTCAGTCTTGGCGCAGCAGCCGTCCGAGATGGAGGTGCCCATTGTTGCTCCCACCAAATGCAAGATTCGTTCCGTAATTTACTTTTTGCATGTGAAAGGGACTTTACCTGTGGATATTCATCATCAGTTGAGAGAGGTTCTTTGCCCAAACAAATGCATGACATACTGATATGTCAAATGTAACCAAAGTTTTAAGACTTTCTAGGTCATTACTTTAAATTTATTCCTTGCATTTTTTGCTGTTAGTAAGTTGTAACATTATTTTTTTCTATAATTTTAACTCCTCTTTTCTCACTTCTTTCTGTTTTTTTATTCTTTTCTCAAGTTCACTTACACTTTTGTCATTATATATATTTGAACTATTCAACATTTATTTTAAATATTGTTTAATTTTAAATGTATTTGTTTTAGAATTATGTCTTTGTATTAATTTCAGAAAATGTTATCAACAATACAAAATAATCGCTCCAAATTTGAATCATTAAGGAATGAAATTGTCAGTAATCTTTATGCATTTTTTGGGTAAGTGATTCTGTAATTAAATTTTCAAAAAACATCATTATTCTAATTAATTAAATATATTTTCTTTAATATAAGCTTTTGCTATTGAAACTTTTTATGTCTTCATTATGGAAAGTATTTTTTTATTATTAATAATAAAAGCACTGACTTCTTTCATTAGTAAAGTAACTAAATATTGGATGTGTATAATTTTTGTGTTATACGGAACATGTTTCCTTTCCTAAATTTCCTAATTTTATTTTTGTATTTTGCAGTTATATTGTTAGATGATATGCTGTATTTAAAGTTCTTTTTCCCATTTTATTTTAAAGAATGTTAATAGCCATTTATATTATAGTATTTTTATTTATTATGTAAAGAGAGTTGATGCTATTTCTATAATAATAATTTGTGTTATGTGATTATATGTCAGTTTAGGGCACACACTATAAGACCAAGCTCCTATGTATATGTGGTTTTAAATCTTATTTTAAAATCCTTAAATTAAATAGAAAAAAAAAAAAAATATGCTTTTTTTTTTTTTTTTTTTTTTTTTTTTTTTTTTTTTTTCCCCTATCTAAATTAAAGTCATTATTATTTTAGAAGTCAAACAACAAAAATCAGCATTATATTTTCAAATTTTCACAGGACTAGTTTCAATGGTTTTACCAAACCATCATCCTCAGCTGCCAAAGTGCAAACGAATGATTTCATTCAAATGTGCAGGAAAGTGACTTGTATGAAAGCTTATCTCTATGTTATGTCCCTCTATCACTGTATTATGTTTTCCAGCTGGGGGTGCTTACGGGTGTTATCTTCTGCATTGTTAGCAGATCCCAAATGATGAGACTACAGTCCCTTTATTCATGAATTAAGTTTCAGTTTAGAAACTGATACCAAAAAAAAAAATACCTTGCCAGACACTGGGAACACATTATGCGTATGACGTAACTTTCTATGGAGAAACACATGTTAGGTAGGTATAGTTCAGATTAAGATAGTACATATTATTTATACAAGCCAAAATATTATTGTAATTAACAGGGGAAAATGAAACATATGTTAATTGAAAGGATTTCTAATATTACTTAATTAAATGGGTGCATGATATATAAATATATATATATATATATATATATTTTAAATAATAATAATAGCAGGTGATTTTTGTTTGGGACAATGCCTAACACAAGTCTTACACATTTCGCCATAAGGAGTGCAAAGTTTTTCAACACACCTCATAAAATATCCTCTGCTTTTTTTCATTTGGGTCAGTCTCCATAACAAAGTCAGATAGTTCCTGTACCTTTTTTAAATACATTTAACTTCTTTTACAGTAAAGGTTCTTTATCTTTTTCACTATCTACTGGTGTTATAAGACCATCCAATTCTTCATTTGTCACTTCACAATCGTTTTTCTTAACTAACTTTTTTTTCTGCTCCTTCCATATCTGAAAATCCTTCACTTTCTATTGCTTTTACAGTTTATATGATTTCCTTGGCTTCACTTGCAGTCGATGCAAACTTTCTAAAATTGTTGACAGTTTTTGGCCTGATCTAATGCCAACAAGCATTCATTGTTGATGGAATCATTTGTTGCCATGTGAATTTAATAACTTTTATGTAGTGTCCTATGTTAAATTGCTTCCAAAATGCCATTAGTATATCATGCTTTCCTTTGGCTAGTGCTTTAAAAATGCTTGGCAATAATAGGCTTTAAGTGTTTTTATGATTCCTTGAACTACTGGACGCATTAAGTGGTATTCAGTGAAAGGAATAAAACTTCTGCATTTGAATGCAATGTTGTGAGCTTCAACATAGCATCTTGAAGCATTATCGAAAATTAGAAATTTAAAGCTCAGGTTTTGCTGTTGTATGTGATGTTTTGTATTTTTAATGAATGAATTTTTAAACTAGTCTTTAAAGAAAATATAACAGAACCAACGCTCTCTGCAGCATACCATTTAATTTGTATAACTGAAATTCTTATATTGGACAAATTAAATGAAACAATTAAGATAATGCATATATGCAAAATCACACTCTGCTAGTCCACATTCAGCAAGGATTCAGCTTTCATTCGTAAACCTGAAGTATGGGTTTTGTCCATAAAGTAATGAAACTGGGTCAGATAAAAAAAAAATTATTGATATGGTCAGTATATATTGTTAAAATTCTTCTAAAAGTTTGCTAAAAGTTCATATCGGAGCTGGCTAAGATGGCTGGCAAGGTTGCAGCTCCTATCCAGGCAAAGTAGGTAGTCATAATGAAGGCTGTCTGGGCACAAGCATTGTTGCAGTGGAGCTTCCAGCAATCTCTGGTCGTTTTTGTTTGACAGCTCTGTGCAGGTGCACAAGGACTTCTTTGTAGAAAGTGGCAGTGATAGTTTGCCTTGCAGGTGGAAATTCTTTGTGGACCATTCCATGCTTGTCAAAAAAGACAACGAACATTGTCTGTATCTTAAACTTCGACATTCTCGTGTTTCTTGGGGCATGGTGAGTTCAAGATGTGCTACTCTTAACTTTGGTACTTGGTTTCAGGGTTGTACTGGAACACCATGATCCTTCGCTTGTTATTGTGTCATCTAAAAGGTCCAGTTCACTTTCTAACCACTCCAAAATCTCACAGCAATATCAGCTCATTGCTTTTGTTCATAACTCAACATTTTAGCCACCAATTTTGCACAAACATTCGGCATATTCAAATTTTCACAAATAATTTAGTGAACTGTTATTTTGCACAAGTTGAGTGCTTCAGCGATTAATCTTGAACTCAAAGTACAGTTGGAGTCCAGGTGATTGTTTACTTTGGAACTCACTCGTTGAAGGTCACACCAGATCACTTCATGTATTCAATGGTCTCCCGTCTGTTCTTGAACTCACTGAACCACCACGAAACTTGGTCCCTTGACAGGACGTCATCTCTGTAAGCCTTTTTAACCAAGGCAAACGTCTCAGATATTTTGCCCATGTGAAATCAAAATTTGAATTACAGTGCTGCTTCAGCAAAGGCTCTAATTTTTTATGTTTTCTGCCATGACAAAAACAGCTTTTGCACCATATGTGATCCTCACTACGTCAGTGCATCTCAATTTATTCCATAGCTTAGACCCCTTATCACAAATCCCACTGCCTGGGAGCATGCTGCTAGTGATTGGAGCATTGTGCAGCGACCAGTCTTATTAATTTATGGAAAAAGCCTGTATTTTGCTTTCCACAGGATGTTTGCGATGGATCCAGTCTTCAGAATAGTGGTTTCCTTACCTGAGAAGGAAATATGATGAATGACTAATGTAAATACACTCTCACATGTTAATATAAGTTTTCTTACAGGATTTTAGAGTTTGCCCTAATGGAGGGCAATTCCCAAATTCGTTGATTCTTTTTGGCAAAAAAGCATCTTGGGGAGGGGGGAGATATTCTTGAATTAAATTGCCTAACCTACATTTTGTAAATGAATTCTGTTGAACAAGTATGAAATGTTTTATATTGCAAAACTATAGCATGTGTAGTTCGACTGTCTTAAACGCAACCTTGGCTTGCATTCTGCCAAAACATACAGAATCGTCCAAAAGGGGCGTTTACTACGTGCCATGAGGTGAGATGTCAAGTCTTCTCTTTGCCAGAAAGAGAGAATTTATATGACCAAGGAAGGGAAATTGTCCATGTTATCGGGTGATCCTATCGTCTGTTGTCTTTCATGCCTTTGGTTACATTTGCAGAAATAAATTCTAAGACTCACATTGGTTTGCCACCCAGAAAGCAAGAATGGTGAAATTTTTTCTTATAATTTATGAAGTTTATATGAACAATGCATATTTCATTGTTTACCTTTAAAGATTAGGTCACTAAAAATCATGAAACTATATTCCTTAGACGAAGTATTCTTTTTGCAGTAAAAAAAGGACTCCAGTCTATAGGTTTCCACTCAATTCAGATGAGATTTACTTAGATCGTAGTTGATTTTAACCTGACATTTGCCAATATTTTTGTTGTTTTCATAAGTGTATGTGATAGCTTGTTTTGATTTTTTAAATGAGTTCAGTTGGTGAAAATTAAGCATTTTACATTGATGCCAAGAAATTGCTACATAATGTCATTATATTTTGTGACACAGAAGCTGAAGACAGGACCGGATAAAGGGTGATTGGGCCCAATCGGTCCCTGCATTTGAAAGGGCTCTGTGTTGCCATCAAAATTAACAAAAAAAAATTTAAAATTTAAAGCAAATTGCTTTTGACGATAATGAATAAATTATGAATTATTCAAACAATTAAAAATATATTTAAGTTCGCATTGCTGGATGAGATTTATTTATGTGTTTGTTATTATATAATACAGTCAAAAGTCTTTAATCCGGACGTCCATAATCCGGACCTCAAAGGTACAAACTTTCTGTGCATGAGTGAACGCATGCGCATAATACGTTTACGCATGCACGTTTAATGTTTAACGGATGGCATAAGCTAAGCTAAAATTATCTATTTCAGTTAATATTGCAGATTGCATTGTTCCTTAATCTTCTAATTGGATCCGGCTTATTATTTTTTGCAGACTGTTAGAGCAATTTTATAAAAGTATGCTTGAACTTTCGATTATGACAAATAGAATTTCCGATTCTGGAGCTGCCAAAGGATCAACAAAGCAAAAGCATGTTTCGATGTCCATTAAACAAAAAGTGGAATTGCTGCAAACAATGGATAAAGGCATGAAGAAAGTGACAGAGAGGTCATTTGTTTCTCTAATCATTTCGAAATCTGTTTATCAATTTCATGCTGCTCTGCGGAGTGGGATGTCGCAGCGCGCAATGAACTGGAAGTTGATCTGTCAGCACTATCCTCATCTTCAGGGCAGATGTTTTTATTTTATTTGGCTTATAATTCCTTACTAAATGTAGTGTTTCATCTCGTTGTACTCTGATATGATTTAAATCAATTTCCTCGTCATTATAAATATCACGAATACACATAAAATAGTTTTCTGGTTGCAATTTTTCTAAATTCGACTATGTATAATATATGC